TTAATTAAATGTTTTGGATAATGTTAATTTAAAATTAAAAAAACCTGCAAGCTTTTTTTTTTTTTTGAGATGTCAGATTGCCACAACTTTGCTAAAAATTAAAACTAGAAAAGCAGATTATTTTCCCTTAGTCCAATGCCAACTGCAACTCCAAACTGAAAATGTTATAAATGGATGACATTATTCAAACAGAAAATTTTTTTATTTATTCTTAACATGTCCAATTTGTATAAATAAACAACGAATTTTGTCTGTATCATTGATGTGAAATAAAAATAAAGTAAATAAAAAATATTGCTTATTCTTTAGACATATTGATTTTTTTGGAATTTCATTATAATCCTTGATTTTCTTCTATCTACCAGACATCCAAAATTGATTAGAATTGTGTCCAATATTAGAAAAGAACATTAAAAAATTTAAATTAAAAATGAATAAAAAAAATTAAGATTTTAAATTTTTAAATTTATAATAGTTTAATAAAACAAAAAAAAAAAATTTATATATATTTGTTTTAAATTTAGTTTAAAATATCTTCAAAAAGGATATTAAATTTCAATTTTATTTCTTCAAAGTGCCAAGGAATCAAAGTTAAAGGACTGAGGTTTGTTGACATTTTATTTTGAAGAACTCAATTTTCAACCTGAAATAGAATTTCAACCCAAATTGGTAAAATTTGTTTGTAGAATTGGATTTATATAATGAATCATTTTAAAGTGGGTTTTTTGAAGTTCCATAATGTGAATTTTTTCAAATAGCAATTTTTTCAAAATTATTTAATGCCGTTTTTAAATCTGGACATGAGATCCCTTTAAATTTTGATTGAAATTCATTTTATTTAAAACAAAAAGCTTTAAAAAAGTCTACACACAATACAGCTTTTTATAATTTAAATAAATATAAAAATATATATAAATTGCTGGACAATCTCCTCAAAAATTAAGAATAAACTTTTAGCAATAGAAATGTGGTTCTACAGAAGGATGCTGTTTATACAATGGACAGAACATGTGAGAATTGACAAAGTTTTAGAAAAATGGAAGAGAAAAATACAATTTTATTTTTTTAATAGGAAGAGATAGTTTTAATTTCTAGGGAACATAATGAGGAAAAGTGTTTTCAAATTTGATACTTTTATTTCTATTGAAGGCAAGAAGAACATCAGAAAAACAAGAGACATTGAATCACTAGTTAGCTTAAGTGAATAATAACAGAACAAGGTTTAGGGGTGATAAAAATGAAAAGATAACAATATTAAGAGCTACAAAGGACAAAAAATTGTTTCAAATAAATTGCCCACGAATGAAGGGGCATATTTATTTTTAGAAGATATAAATTTCTACTTGATAAAAGAAATAAATTTTATACTTTTAAATTATAAAAGACACATCATTAAAAGATATTTTATAAGTTGACCAACTTCAAACAAAAAACTTTTTTTATTAAATACTAGCAGTAGAGCCCGGCGTTGCCTGGGGATGTAACAGTAAGAGATAGATCAAGTATCGACCATCATAAAGACTGAAAAATAAAATTGACAAAGATTATTGTTTAAGGTTGATGGACACGCATATCTTAATTAGTTTATTTTTTTTTTTGTTTTGTTTTTTTTTACAAATTGGTCAAACCCAAACTCAAACAAAAACATTGTTTTCAATCATTGTGAGTCTATCAATTGAATAGAATTTTATTATAAACAATTGTCTTGTAAATGGAATTTTTAAAGCATTCTGAATGTAAAAATAAAGAAAAAAAGTGTGCAAGACAATAAGAAACACTACCTGCAAAAAAAAAAGTGAAGTTTTGTTGAAATCGGTTGAAAAATGTAGGAAATCCGATCCCATATATAAATGAACACACACACACACACAAACAACAACCTGGGTTTTATAATAAGTATAACTCGATATGAGTTGTCCCCTTTCATTCTGGCGACAGAATCATGTTTTAATCATGTTTTCAAATTGATTTCATGCAAAAACAATTGTGTTTTTCCAATTTTTGGTGCTGTCAGAACCACCAAGAAGGTAATTTTACAGTCCTGTGAAGTTTTGTTGAAATCAGTTGAAAAATGTAGGAAATCCGATCCAATATATAAACGTACAGACACACACACACACACACACACACACAATCTACACACAATTGAGCGTTTTATAATAAGTAAGATATAATTAAAATAAATAAGAAATAAATGATAATAAAAAAAAAATAAATAAAAATTAATAAATAAAAAATAAAGAATAAAAAAAAAAAAAATAAGAAAATAAAATAAGAAATAAATGAAAATAATAAAATAAAACTAAAATAAATAAATAAAAATAAAAAAATAAAATAATAAAAAATAATAAAATAAATAATAAAAGAAATTATATATTGAATTTAAATTGTCACTTCTGTATTTTTACAAGGTCACTGTCATTACTTATCTGTTAAAATTCTTTAATTAACCAATAATTGATACAAAATTTAACTGTTTTGAATTCCAAACCAATGAGCAAGAATCCAGGCTTTTTATATCTTTCATATCTCATACTTTTTGAATTTGACATCACAATGGGAGAATACCACATGTACTGCAGTCATAACAACAGTAGTGTGTTTTTCTCCACAACTTGGGTGAGATCTGGGTGGTCATGGCTCTTCACAGTTTGGGCACGATAACTTGACAGTGTCTATTTCTTTTCAGACTGGTTTTGAATTCAAGACTGGCTGCCACCCAAGACAAGTGACCCCAGCCTGCTTTGCTATTTAACTCAGAAATGGAGGATGATAGATTCATACCTTTTGCAAGGGTATCAGTGCAAAGTGAAAGAAACAGAATTGGCCAGAAACTGAACTCTACATGCTGATTTCACTTTCTGTACCAACAAACATTACACTATCCTCACCACCAGTTTTTAATTGAGCAGTAACAAATCAAGTACTTATAAATTGGGCAATGACAAACTAAATGTGATGTTGGACTTCTACAATAACTGAATTTTCAACAGAAACTAATTATTTCTTTGTTATCTTTAACCTTTAGCATGGTGCATTATTAATATCACTTCTCTTTCCACAGCATTCTTTTTCAAGGCCACTCAATTACAGTATCCTTATTGTTAATTTAAGTTGTTTTCTGTTGCCATAGCAGGATATGACAACACAACTATAAAATTCAAGCACACTATTGTTCAGGGATCAAAATCACCTTCAGTGGTAGGGTAAACTTTTTGTACAGCAAATTAAGTCACATACAGAGTGATAAAGGTTAATATTTTAATTCTTGAAGAAAATTAATTTAAATTTTAATTCGTGAAGAACTAAAAGCTGAAAAACTTTTGATCATTTGTGTGTGTAGAAGAGGAGGTGGAAAAGTAAAAAAAAATGATAACGCTGCAAATTATGGTGATATGAAAATTGAGAATTGGTTGAAATAGTTTTTTTAAAAGTAAGTATCATTGCACTGGACCTACAAAAGCCATCAATATGGATTTATTCAAAATTTATTCAAAAGCCATCAATATGGATTTATTTATTCAAAATATTTTATTCAAAAACAATTCAAAGCCATCAATATGGATTTAATCAAAATTTATTCAAAATCATTTATTCAAAATTTATTCAAAGCCATCAATATGGATTTATTCAAAATTCAAAAGCCATTTTATTTATTCAAAATTTATTCAAAGCCATCAATATGGATTATTCAAATTTTATTCAAAAGCCATCAATCTTGATTTATTCAAAATTTATTCAAAAGCCTTCAATATGGATTTAAAAATATTCAAAAAACAATATGGATTTATTCAAAATTTATTCAAAAAATCATCAATATGGATTTATTCAAAATTTATTCAAAAGCCATCAATATGGATTTATTCAAAATTTATTCAAAAGCCATCAATATGGATTTATTCAAAATTTATTCAAAAGCCATCAATATGGATTTATTCAAAATTTATTCAAAAGCCATCAATATGGATTTATTCAAAATTTATTCAAAAGCCATCAATATGGATTTAAAAGCCATCAAAATTTATTCAAAAATTCAAAAGCCATCAATATGGATTTATTCAAAATTTATTCAAAAGCCATCAATATGATTTAATCAAAATTTATTCAAAAGCCATCAATATGGATTTATTCAAAATTTATTCAAAGCCATCAATATGGTTTATTCAAAATTTATTCAAAAGCCATCAATTTCATGGATTTATTCAAATTTATTAAAGCCATCAATTTGAAATTTTATTCAAAATTTATTCAAAAGCCATCAATATGGATTTATTCAAAATTTATTCAAAGCCATCAATATGGATTTATTCAAAATTTATTCAAAATTTGATATCAATATGGATTTATTCTGTTTATTCAAAAGCCATCAATCTGTTTAAAAATGACCCTATACTTTAAAGAGGAAATTATCATATTTTCATTTGTAAAAAAATCATGAGTAACATAGGTTAATTTTTGTTTATTTCATATCCGTAGTGAGTATGAATTTTGGGGTATATAAGACACAAAAAATTGCTACAAAAATATACACTGTTTTTTATACAAAGTTGATATATCTGGTTGTATAATATTAACTTAGACACAGTAGAACGCCAGTAATTTTACCAGCCTAACTCAATAATACTGTAATATTAAATGTAAATAGTGGGTCATATATATGAAGTTGAAGTATCTAGTCAGCTAAAATTTGCCAAAATGCCATAGATGGCCAGTATTTGTACCTAGCCTCACTTCATTATACTGTCATATTAACTCTAAATAAGGGAGTCTTAGATGTGAAGTTAAAGTATCAGATAGGCTAATGTTTATCCAGATGCTGTAGATGGCCAGTATTTGTATCTAACCTCACTTCCTTATACTGTCATATTAAATGCAATATAGTAGAGTGTGTTTATGTAAAATGTAAAAATATATATTGTAAATATTTGAAGAAACTTATATACTTACTCTACATTGAAGTCACAATCAGATACCCACTCAGTATGACCCTCCCCTGTTACAATGAGGTCACCTGCTGGCACTGACCACAGTTTCCAGCTCATGTCATCACTTGTAGTTGCCATGATTTGCTTCTTTGGATGAAGGCATAAGCTACAATAAAAGGAAAGAATAAGCTTCAATAAAAGGAAAGAATACCTGTCTATATCTCTGAGATGAGGTATTATGATTACTTACATTATTTACATTATTCAGACTGAATAAAAAGCAGTAATTTATACTATAGCATGTAATGACTGCTACAAGGAATCCATAGGAGAGACCTTGATGAATTTAAATAAAATATTATATGAACACAAAAGGGATCTGTGAGAAAATGTAATAAATTCAATAAATAATATAAAGAATATAAAAAAGAAATACATTTTCTCATTATGCTAGTAATAAGGAAGCTGGAAATTTTATTACTCCACTTCACCAAATGTTCATTAGGTGGCACAGTTTAAGTTCTATAAAAAGATAGACATTTCCTTCCTCTTTCTCAAAGATATATCAGGCCATGGATAACAACGTCTCTGCTGAGAACATCTCTTTTCCCCAATCAACTGACAACTAAACTCTCTTTCTTCCTCTTGCTCCAAGATTTAGCAGAATGTGAATGAAGATGTCCCCACTGGGAAATGTCACCTTCCCCTAGTTGAATGGCAAATGAAGTAAGTGCAACCTTTACTTTGGTCATTCCAACTCAGCACAAGACTGACTTGAGGTCAACCATTGTAAACATTCTTATCATTACTTACTTCTAAATCAGAAAAAGAAACTCTCTTCCACTTCCCAATGCATAGTGTTTGGACAAAACTAACTTGAGTTTGGCCAACATAACCATACTTATCATTACTTACCTAACTTACTTCTGGATCAGAAAAAGAAAATGGACATACCTAATAGACATTGAGAACTTTGTTTCCCTACTATAATAACTATTTCACTTGTTGGCTATTGTGACATGTAGGGGCTTCCATACTTTAAGCAGTAACAGCAACAGAAGTAATCAGCAGAGAACAACAGAAAGTTCCAGAACTCATAAAAAAATGGTGACTGAGTCCTTATTGGCTTCTTTTTCCACTTCTTTTTTAGAAGCTGCTACCTTCAAGGCCAGCTTAAAGAACCACTTACAACCCTTGCTGCAGAAGACACAAAGTAGTCCTGGCAGTTTGAAACTGAGATTTCTCATACCATATAGGAACAAGCAGAGAAATCTCTCTTCAAGAAACCTACCCAGAGGAAAAACCACTCCCAATCCTCATTGCAGAAGACCTATACCAGCCCTGGCAGATTGAAGCATAGATTTCTCATTCCCCGTGGGAACAAACAAAGAAGTCACTCTTCTAATCATCTACTCAAGAGAATAGCTCTGTTAACTGGGAAACCCAACTTTTTTCCACAAAATACTACTATTTGGCACTTTCTTCCGACCACAAATAAAAGCTGTTAAACAGTTATTTTGAGCCTTGGGTTTGTTCATTCCACTTGATACACTGCCAAGCACACACACACACACACACACACACACACACACACACACACACACACACACACACACACATAGGAACCAGGAAAATCCTTACACTACAGTTTCTACAAAACCAAGAATAAATGTTCTGTAGTAGAAACAATTTTTTGTTGGTTCTTGAAATGTTTATATGTGAACATGCGCACACCTACAATATACCAAATGTAACCTTAAATTCTGAAGATCTTTTACAAAACAACAGGCTCACTGCATTAGTTGCTCACCATAAGGAGTCTGACCATAATTTTGATTAAAAAAAAATGCCGCTTAAATTAAAAGAGAAAGCATTTTACTTAGGTGAAAATGTCTAGAAAGTGCACTGATTGGCAAAGCATGCACAATAGATTTATATCCAGCTTCTTTCTTGGCAGATCTTCTGTTATCCCAATATGGGAGACTTAAAAACAACAACAATGATAATGTTAGGAAACTGAATGAGATTGGCTCTAGATTATGCGCCTGGACAGGTATGATAAAAAAATTTAAAACTCAAAAATGTAAAAGTTTAAAGTTCAGTTTTTCCACATCTTCAGGGTTTCTCCTTGGTACATAATTATAACTGACACTTGCTTTTACATCTCTCTCACCATACACGCGCACACACACACACACATATATATATATATATATATATATATATATATATATATATAATTCCATCAATAAGAACATTACTTTAATCTGATGAAAGCTTTCTGAAGAATTTTTCCACTTTGTTATTCACTTACCCAAGTGTTGATATCCATTATGACAACCCCTTCCCCCCTTTGTCAGGTGTTGCAATAATGTTATTTTTGTTTCTGGAGAATTTCTCAAGAGCTTTTATGTATCTCCAAGGTAGTGTGGAGGTTTTGTTTCTTAAAGGATAATTATCGATGATGAGAAATCATAGACAAAACTGATAGAATGCCACCTCCCACAAAACTCAAGCCACCCTCATGAAACTCAACCTTTACAACATCATTACCTTTGACTACTACTTCTTCTATGTGCCATGTCCCTTCAGGACATAGGTGATCAAAGCTCTCCACAACTTTCTATTTCGAGTGCCTCTTAGTAGTTTTTCTCCATTCATTCACACAAGTTCATCACGTAAGTGGCTTCCTATCTTCCCCCATATCTCTTGCCCTCAATATGCCCTGTGAGTGTTAAGTTTTCCAAACCCTCCTTCTTCATTATGTGACCAAGGAATTTCATCTGTCTTTTCCTGAGTATAAATGTTATTTCTTTTGTAATTTTTCTTTAAGACTTTAAAACTTTTTTTAAAACTAATGTAAAGAAATGGAAGAAAAATGCTACTTCTACGGTTCCTGCAAATTCTGAGAATGGACACAATCAGATGATGATTCGAAATGATAGTCGACCCCAACCAACATCTACAAATAAAACAGGTTTCTTCTTTTATGTGCTGTGTCCCTTCAAGATGTAGGCAATCATGGCTCTCCACAACTTTCTATCTTGTGTGGCTCTTAGTCATTTTTCTCCCTTTACTAAGGCTCCAGCTCTCCATTCACACAAACTCATCAAATAAGTGACTTGCTGCCTTCCCCCATTCTCTTGCCCTCAATATGCCCTATAAGTGTTAAGTTTTCCAAGCATTCCTTCCTCATTATGTGTCCAAAGAATTTCAGCTGTCTTTTCTGATTCTGAGTATGAATGTTATTTCTGTTGCAATTTTCTTTAAGATTCTAAAATATTTTAAAACTCAAAAATGTAAAAATTTAAAATTCAGTTTTGCCACATCATCAGTGTTTCCCCTTGGTATATAATTATAAACTGACACTCATGTTTAAATCTCCCCTGCCATGTACATTATATATATATAATATATATATATATATATATATATATATATATATATATAAATTCCATCAATAAGAACATTACTTTTAGTCTGATGATGTTTTTCTTAGAGGAAAAAATATGTTACACAGAATTCTTCCATTTTGTCATTCTTCTGATACATAGAAATTTATATATAATATTCTCCAATTTATATACGTACATTAAAAAAAACTAAAAAACAATCTTTCTTGAAGTTTTTATTTTAATTTTAAATTCCAAGCTAACAGATTTTAAATCTAATATTCCCAATAAACAAATCTGGCAGCAAAGTCTCTGATCAGGAGATTGAAGGTTTTGAGGAGTGTGGAACCACTTCTTAATTACTGTTGTTCCCAGGTCCACCCTTACCCAGGGATAGGATCCCAGCCATGGGTAAATAGTGAACACCCAAACAAAAACAAAACACTATGAAAGCATAAAGATAAATTTTATAGTAAAAATACCAGCAATACACTTTCATATAAAAAGAATTACCAATAATACTTATTTATAGTAAAATTAACAACAATAGATTTTTAAAGCAAAATGACCAACATGAGATATGGTAGAAATACCAACAATACATTTTATAGGAGATATACTAGAATTACCAACAATACATTTTATAGGAGGTATAGTAGAATTACCAACAATACATTTTATAGGAGATATGGTAGAAATATCAACAATGCATTTTATAGGAGATATAGTAGAAATACCAACAATACATTTTATAGGAGATATACTAGAATTACCAACAATACATTTTATAGGAGGTATAGTAGAAATACCAACAATACATTTTATAAGAGATATAGTAGAATTATCAACAATACATTTTATAGGAGATATGGTAGAAATATCAACAATGCATTTTATAGGAGATATAGTAGAAATACCAACAATGCATTTTATAGGAGATATAGTAGAAATACCAACAATACATTTTATAGGAGGTATAGTAGAATTATCAACAATACATTTTATAGCAAAATGACCAACAATACATTTCATCTGTAGTTAAAAGCATACAAATGGGTTCAAAATATATTTAGCCATAGCCATAAAATTGTGTCCAAAATATTTAGAGGTGTTGATATACTGCTAAACAAAATAAACCAACCAATTAATAAGCAAAATTATTTGGTGTATTTAAAACCAAATTTAAACTGATTGGAATATTTTCTCTACTTATCAGTAAAATCTATAAAGTCGTCCATACTGACACATCTTTCAACACAATATAATTCATTTTATTAAAAAAAAATCAATAATAAAATATACTTTTCTGAAACATTATTTGAGAAATATTAACTGATTTAAAGTTTAATTAATCTGAATTGAGACAAATACTACTTTTAGTTTAGAATATTGCAGAAGAGAATTTTTTAACATGGAGCTGTTTTTTTTTTTTAACGTATTGAGTAATGTATTGACAGCCTGACGTTTGAGAAATTTAAATAAGGAGGACATAATTGAAATTATTTTTTAATATAATTATAATTTATAGTTATTAAGTTAGAAAATTGGTACACTTCAAGTAACACACTTTTGAAAAGTGTCAAGCATCTTCCTGTTAAATTATTTGTCTATTCTTGTGTTTAACTAAGTTTTTGCATCATGTAAAATAAAAGATAACATCACAAGTTAGGAGTCATTAAGAAAACTTCCTGTGTCTAGTCTATTTCCGGTTGTATGAAAACTGTCTTTAAAAGAAGGAACTCTTTATTTAAAAGAAGGAACTAGAATAAGAATAAAAACTAAATTTACAAAATCCCCTTCATAATTTCTGGAAGATAAAAATGTTGAGTTTACATTTTATCTGCTTTGTTTTTTTTATTTTTCTATTTTCTTTGGGGACGAGTTGAACATTTCAACAAAGTCAAATTTTCAACCTAACAGTCTTCCATCATTGGTAGACTATATTTGACCAGGTGCCTGAAAAATTCCTTAATGGAAGATTTGGTAATTTTGACAAGGTAGGAAAATTTGGTAACTAAAATAAAAGTCAGTTGAAAATTGATATTAAGGCTATTTTGGAGTAGGATTTTGGGAGCTAAAGCCTCCTCTCCTATATTTTTAAATAACTAAAAATCATGGGGTCTAGATAAAATCTCACTACGACAATACCAGAACAATACTTCCATAAAATTTTATTTTTACTACTTTTAAAATGTTAGTCTTAAATAAATGTTTAATCATTTAGGGTTTTTTTTTTTTAGTACACGTTCTTTTGAGAGAAGTGTATTTTTATGAAGGCCGGATCGTTTGTGTAAAAAATTGTTAAGACTTGTATAACTTTGGCTCAGTGGTTGAAAGCCACCAAAATTGTTAAAAATCTATGTCAAGTTACGGAAAATTATCTTTTTGTATTTATTGACCAATGAGAGACATGATCTCAAGCCCTAATAAGAAACTGAATGGCGGGGACTTCTGTGAGCCTATTTTTCTGAATAAATAGACCTCAGGTCAGTGGATGGAGGCAGAAGACATTTTGACAGCAAGAGGTCAAGGCAAATTGACATCATGAAAGAAGGCACCAGTTATCGTCCAGCTGCAGAGAGAGCCTTGAAGTTTGCAAGAGAAAATTCTCCTGTGCCTGAGTCTTATTGTGTGATTTGCACCTGTTTTGACCACAAGGAGAAGAGAAGCACATGTTCTCTTTTCCCCCCTTTCTATTCCTGCAATCTAGGTTTTTGTGTTTGGCACAAGTATTTAGATTTGGTAAGGAGTTAAGACTTTTATTATCTATTTATTAGATTGGTTATTTACAAGATTATAAAAATATGTACACCAACTATGCAATATTTATTATTGACTATATTATAAAGAATTAATGATGAAAACAATTTTTTCATTCATAAATTTATAAAAATGTTTGTAAATAAGCGAACAAGAAAATTTAAACAAAACACATAATTACACTGTAATTATAAATTGTGAAAAAATGCATTTTTGCTCTCGATGCATAAATTCACACTACTAGGTTGAGTGCCAAGAGAAAATGTATAAAACCTGTTTCATATGTTTGGGTTTTATCAAAATTCTAAAAATAACCTTTTAAAACAATAAAAATTGCAGAATGAGTATATGGTAATAGTGGTGTCAAGAGACAGACTGCCCTTTTGTCACCTCTTTTTTTGTGGGTACATTTATTAATCTTTGCTAGTTGTTCCCCTTATCTGACCTGTTGTGAGAAATTGATTCATGCCTTTCCAAAGTACATTCAAATAAATGACTTCATATCCTTGTCATGAGAGCTATGGAAGAAAGATTTAGTCTCCCATTTAAATTTCCCCATTATGAGCATTAAATTATTATTATTGTATTTATTACATTTATTATGTCCATGATATAATAACATTGATATTTCATAGACAGAATGGAATGGCTGAAAGGAAAAAGGATGACAAACATGCTTTGTTCTCAGAAACATTTATATCACTAAGACATGCACAAAACTATATCTACATATATACAAATGTCCCATGTAGAGAATAATATATCTACATGGCAAAGAAGAGTGTCAGGAGAAACAAAAAGGAAGGTCTTACATATAATATGGAGATACTCCTGTGTCTGGAGAAGCCATGTTCAGAATTCAAGATTCAAATTAGCCAGATTCATTTATGTCCCAGGTGAGGACATATTCCATGAATGGGAGACAGTTAGTATTGGGTTTTCCCCAGTTTGAGGACTGTTAGCTGGAGTTTCATTCTATATCTTGGAAATGGCACCATGAACTTATAAGCTGTTGGTTTAGCCATAGGGGACCTGGGCTAAAGAAAGCAACCTGTAATACAAACTGAAATTGACCATCACTTCTGTCACTGTATGAAGTGATATCATTAAGCAGCCATCATGCGACCCACATGACTTATCTCCACCAAAGTGAGATAAGCACTTTCTGTATCTTTATATCTTCAAACAACATTGGGGCTCCATACCATGACCTTTATGGTATTTCTTGTGTCAATGGCGGTTACTTGGTGATTACTATCTCCTCTCAAAGTAACATGTGACAAACTCTTCAGTGTTACATTGTACCAAAAAATCAGTTGTGAGTAATACTGGATTTCAAATAGAAGGTCTTGATATGAAAACAAAAATAAGTATTACAAACCTGCTGACAGGACATTTGTGCACTAGGATTGTCTTTGTCAGCTTAAAGCCTCCAGTCCGGATTGTATGGCTTGGCAGGCCCTTAGTTGGAGGAAGATATGGATTTTCTCTTGTGTCAAATGGAAATTTGGAGTCTCTCTGGTAGCCAAAAAAATAAAAGAAAAGAAAAAAAAAAGAATTAAGAAATTAATATACACATTAACCTTACAGTTACTAGTTATTTTACTAGTCCAGAACCTATACATGGTTCTATCAGGAAAGCAAAACTAATATTTTCGGACCAATAACTTTAAACTATTCTTGCTTCAGCTACAACTTTGCAAAATGTTTAAAATGAAGGGAAGATGAAAAGCGAGAGACAATAAAAATGTTTTCACAATGTTTATTGTATCTTTGAAAATTCTGGAAAATTAAATATTCTGCCATTTTGTTTCCCTGAAGATTACACACCACTAAGTAGATATTTCTGTTGACTATAACAAAATGTTCCTTCTGCTGAACTCTCCACTCTTTTTGCTAGCTGAAGTTTTCATATGAGATTAGTATTACATTATTTACATTATTGTAAACAGGAAACTGTCACAGGATCTAACCAACGCCTTTATCCACTGTGCCAAGTGTCGTTGAGGACACATGGCACAGTGGATAAGGACCCAAAGAGTGTGAGTTCAATACCCGGTTAAGGCAGTGGAGAACTTGCAGAGGGGAATTAACAGAAGATAACTGATAACTGACATCCATTAAACATGGCACATGAAACTCGAACAGTCAACCCCAGTGAGTGAAATAAAGGGTTCAGTTTGATATTCCAACCACCTGAAGAAGGCTGGAGCATACAATGGCCAAAACGTTGTAATAAATATGGCGACAAAGATGAGGACAATAGTTCAATTAATGTAAATAATGTACATAATAACTCATCTCAGAAATATAGACAGATACAGATTAGTGTTTTTATTATACACTAAATCTTTTGGGTTAATTTTATCAACTATTGTTTATATCTTTATATTACTTTTTATTACAGCAAATATTGTCATTATTATTAGAGACTAGTTTATACTTTCATCTTCATTTTTTATGAGATGAATTATTGTCATTAATAATTATTAATTTTTGACAAGTATTTACTTTCATTGTTTATTAGATGAAGCATTGTCAACCATTATCATCAATAATTTTAATTAGTATTTATTTTCATTTTATCTCTTTACTTGCCTTTATTTATAACTGTAAATAGCCATGATTGGTCACATCCTGAAAGGACATTCTAGATTGAGAGAGAATGTTCTTTTATTAATTTTTGTTGCTTTTATTTGCAATGCTTATGGTATTTTAGATTCACTGGGTGAAGTCAGAACAAATCTGAACACACCAACATAATAACATATAATTATTATTGCTTCTTTACATCAATAGCTGGAGAGATAATAGTCTAAATTTACTTGAGTTAATAAGTTTTTATCTTTTATAATTAAGAGTTGAGTACATTTATGTTAGTAATGAAATTCTGGTTAATTTGAAGTGTAACACCCACGCTCAGTTTGCATTAAAAATTTCCAGAATACTGACATTTATGTGTAATTGTACACGCTCCATTCAAATATGGCTTGATAAATTTGATAAAATCCACTATTTTGGGGTTATCGACAGTGAAAGTTTGGATTCATTTGTGTTGTTGGCAGAAGCTGTTGTTGGCGTTGTTTGCATATATTCATGGAAGACTATAGAAAGTTAAGCATGGAACTGATCTTTCTTGTCTAAATTTATCTCAATTATTGTGCATGAGAATTATTTATGCAGACACGCTTAGTTTGTGCACTGATAGCTGTTCTGCAGTGAATGTATGGAAACAACACCAGTAATGACTGTCTGCAACACAAATGAATCTGAACTTTCACTGTTGATAACTCCAAAACGGTAGATTTTACCAAATTTATCAAGCCATATTCAAATGGAGCATGTACAAATACACATAAATGTAAGTATTCTGGAAATTTTTATTGTGAACTGAGCATGAGTGTTACATTTCAAATTAACCAAAATTCTCTTAAAAAACAATATTTATGGACTGAACAAGTGGCTCTGCAGGTAATATAATAATTACCAGGTGAGAGAGTGGAATCAGTGAGCAGGGTTCAAATTCAAGTGAAGTCTGTTGTTTTCACTGTACACTAATGCATTTGGGAAAGGTATGAATCCATCTTTTCACTCCTGCTAGATGTCGGCTAAATAACAGGGTAGACTGAGATTCCTAGCCTTGGGTGGCAAAAAGTCTAGGAGACGGACAACTATCAATATAAAACTGTGGAAAACACATTGGGGAAACCACTCCACTATCGTTCACATCAACTCACAGATATTAAGAAGGAAGCTGTTGAAAGACACGATCATTTATGCACTGGTATTTTAAAAAATGGGCTTTTTATTTTTTGAGAGATAAGGTGGTAAATTAACTTGGGGTTTGTAAGAATTGGGAAATATATGAATCCATCTTTTCTCTTTTGCTAGATGATATGTCTGGGAAAGGGATATATTTGTTCGAAGTAGCTAAGTGGTTTTGGCTACTGTAACTGGGTAGGACAATCTAGCAGGTAATCGTAATGAACATAGGCAATAGGCATAGGCTATAGGCATAGGCAATAGGTGTCGACCATGTACCTCCACATCAGTCTGTATTTATGGCTGACACCAGACATTCATATTACTGTGAGGGAGAACCCAGGTGTATGCATATTCATTACATCACTAGATATGGGTTAAATAACAGGGTAGACTGAGCTTCCTAGCCTTGGGTGGCAAATGGTCTAGGAGATAGACAACTATGAATATACAACTGTAGAGAAAGCAGTGGGGAAACTACTCTACTATATTTATTTTTTGATAGATGAGGTGATAAATTACCTTGGACTTTGTAGAAACTGTAGAAGGTGATTTTTTGACTTTCTCTCTTTCTGAAGCCAGAGCCCTTTGGGTTGGCCCAAGTCCTTCACTGTCAAGTTTGACTCTCCCTTTTCCACAAATCCTATTTGTCTGGATCATATCTGTTAAATGATAAGAATAACAGAAACATATACATTAAAACAATCTTGATTTAACTGTCTTTGTTTTAAGGAATAGTGGATAAAAGTAACCACTCATCGTTGAAAATCACCATAACATACTGATTGTTTTTTTTATTTTTTACTGAATGAAATTAGATAAATGTCATATCGTTCATTGAATCTGTGTTATGTTACTCAGTATATGTAAACCCTGTTAGCTATAAAGTTAGCTGGGAATGAAAAATCTTGCCAATTTCACCTACAGGATCTCAAAAATTGTATACATATTTTTACAGTGTATAGCTCAAGTCAGCTTACTTCTGTTTCACATGTTTTTAGTTGAAATTCAAGCTTTTATATGCTTCTTCTTTGTTTATCATCTGGCAACTTGTACACACCTAAAATACACACAGACAACCTTTTAAATTCCATAAAATACAGAGTATAGAGATAAAAGTTCTCACCTTGGCTTCCTGTTGCATTATCATTTGCCAAATCTAAATTCTTTATCATGTTGATAAGCCCTGTACAATGTTCCTGTGAGCGTTCCAATTCAATTTTGGTCAGCATTTTCTGTTTCATGGCTATTTCATACTTTATACGAAATTGATGCAGAGTCGGTTCATATTGGCTGTAATGAGATCTCAGTCTGAAATTCAAAGAAAGAAATTTAGTAACACCTGAAGAAAGTAAGAGAACCACCCAGCCAAAATATTGTGGTCTAAACGACAAACTTCATTCTTGAACTTTGTAAATAATTCATTGAATAAGATTTTTACAAACTTGCTTTCTATTTACACTATTTACATTATTCAAACTGTTATCATCATATTTATTGCCATATTCATGATGTTTCAGCCATTGTATGCCCCAAACTTCTTCAGGTGATATTTATTGGAATTTTCAAATCAAAACCTGAAAAAGGCCAGAGTGTACAACTGACGAAATGTCATGAATATGGCAATAAATATGAGATCCAAACAATGTAAATAGTGCAAATAGTTGCAATACGTCATCTCAGAAATATAGACAAATCCTGAAGAAGGCCAGAGTGTAAAATGGCCTAAACATGAATATGGCAATAAAGATGAGGACAACAGTCTGAACAATGTAAATAGAGTAAATAGTTACAATACCTCATCTCAGAAATATACCCTACATGCAAGCCACCAATCTGCCACTGGGTGGCATACCACTAGAGTTTACTGCTGGTGGCTTGCTGTCGGACTGCTGGCATGTTCGTCTTGGCAATATTACCACTAGTGAACCACTAGAGGCCGACCGATGGCCCGCCAGTGGTTGCCACCAGAGAACTGCTGTCATTACCATATGCAGCCTACCAGCAGGCCACTAGCAGCTTGCATGTAGGGTAGACAGATGTTGCTTTGTACTGTATTATTTTTCAAATTTTTTTGTTTATGTTTTTTTTTATCATTTCACTCCAAGCAAGGTGATAGTACCACGAAGACGCAAAGGGTTACTGGGAGTGAAAGAGAGTGAGAAGACATTAGTGAGGAAAGGTGAGGAAAAGAATAATAAAGGAACAGAGTTGTAGAAGACAGAAAATGGCGATTGACATTGCATTTAAATTTTTCAAGTTGTAGGTGGCAGAGAAGCAAGAAATTGGAAAGACAATCTACAAGTGAGATGTGCAATATTATTAGAAAAGAACTGATTGTTGCATCTAGGTAGTTCAACAGTAAAATGGTGAGACCTAGATGCCAATCTAGTAGCATGCTTAAAATCATGCAGTCAGTGCATTAAAAAGAAAAGCTCATCTGAACAATTGCCATAAAAATGTTTATAGAAAAGACAGAGAGAAGGAATGTCACGTTGATGGGGAAGTAACTGAAGTCGAGATGCCAGGTCAGGATCAATGACATTGCAGACCTATCTTAAAAAAAAAAAAAATTTAACATAAGTACAGTTTATAAATACAAAAACTAACTACAACTTTTGACATGACTATAATGTTAAAAAATTAACTTAATTTCACTACGAAATAATAATATACAAATATTAGGTTGGTGCAAAAATAATGACGTAATAATGTCGTTTTTTGACGTTAAAAAATACATCAAAAAACAACATTATTACGTCATTATTTTTGCACCAACCTAATATAAAATCCCAACCCTACTTGCTTTGGCATTAAATGACTCACTACAAGTTGATATACCATTAAACAAATTGAATTTTGTCAAGAAACTTTGTTGTTCATAAAATGGGGGATCAGATTTGGTACATTTTTATGTAATAAACAGATTACTCTTTTTATGTCCAATGATATAATACATTAAATTACTTACAATTCTACAAGGTATTTAGATTTGCTGTTTTTCTACTGAAAGTAATTGTCAGGCATAGGTAATTGTACTTAGATCAAACAAATTGAATTCTTAAAATATTTAAATGCTTTATTTATGATGTATATATACATTGATTGATTGATAAATTCTCCAATCCTATAAAAAATAGTTTTAAACAAGACAGAATAATGAGTCTGGCATTCAAAATTCCGAGGGTTGATTGATGAAGTCTCTAATCCTATAAAGTAAGGTTTTGATTGGGTAGAATAATAAAAATGTTATCAAAACGAAGGAATTTTTTCTGTTCAAAATTATGAGAGATGATTGATAAAGTCTGTAATTATTTAAAACAAATTTTAGACTAGAAGGAATAATGGGACATTTTCGGTACTCTCTTCAATGAAGTAAATTTATTTCTCTTCAAAATGATGTTGTTTAAATAATAAATAAGGTTCCCAATCCAATCCTATAAAACCTCCAAAAATCTATCCAACCAGAACTTAGCAGCTCATTTCCCTTCTGATGGCTCAATGTGGGGAGGACTGGCCTGTAAAATTCAATATGACCAAAATCAAACAAGTAATGTTCCACCACCACTGAGCAGACCCTGAGCATTCACCTAACAGGAGGCTCCTTGCCTTGAACGTCTACTGGGACTCAAGCTCTCCCCAGACCTCAAAACGTTCTGAGTGTAATGATGATCTACATCTGGCAGCAAGGCCTCTGATCGGGAGACTGGAAGTTTTGAGGAGCCTGGAACCACCTCTTAATTATTGTTATACCAGGTCAACCATGACCTGGAGTGGTAGCACCTGTTAGGGTCCCAACTATGGGCAAATACTAAACACCTTGCCAAAAAAAAAAAATCAGTATATTTTTATAATAAAATGAGCAACAGTACATTTTCCTTACATAGCAAAATGACAACCAATGCAAGACTAAAAAAAAATACATTTTTATAGTAAAATTATCAACAATACATTTTATAATCTACAAAATATATATCCAAAAAACAGATTTACTCGAAAAGTATAAAATTATGTACAAAATATATTTAAATGAAGCCATAAAAGTGCTTTCAAAATATTTAGATTTTGGCATTAAATCACCCATAGAGGTTGATATGCCGCTAAACAAAATCAACCAAATCAAACCAATCAAAATATTTAGATTTCGGCATTAAATAACCCATAGATGTTGATATGCTGCTAAACAAAATCAACCAGACCAAACCAACCAAAATGTTTAGATTTTATAAATTAAAATCACCTATAGAGGTTGATATACCGCTAAACAAAATCAACCAGACCAAACCAACCAAAATATTTAGATTTCGGCATTAAATAACCCATAGAGGTTGATATGCCGCTAAACAAAATCAACCAGACCAAACCAAACCAATCAAAATATTTAGATTTCGGCATTAAATCACCCATGGAGGTTGATATATAGTTAAGCAAAATCAACCACAAATCAACTACTCATAATGGAATGGAACTCATATACAATTTATTTGCTAAAAATGCTGGAAAAATGGGTGGTTCATTGTACCTCTCCATTAAGTATCTGACTCCCTCTGGTATACTCTATATTTACAATAGCCAAATCAGACCAAAATCTGGACTGGAGCTGCCCAGTTCTCACTTGCCTCTCTTGATAAAGTTCAAAAAGCATCTACGTGGCCTTGTGGGGTGATGAATTATTTTCTACCTTACCACTCCCTTAATTACAGACGAAATGTTGTGAGCCTCTTGCTGCTCTATTGCTATTTCCATGGTATGTATTTTAACGAGCTACATTCCTTAGTCTCACCACCTCTGACCTTTACAACTGAGACCTGCCATGTCACACCCACAAGTGTAAATCATCCCCATTCCCTTCGTATTCCATTAGTAAGGAGGAAGTTCCATTCGGACAACTTCTTCTCAAGAACTGCTCCAATATTGTTGTGTATATTGAAATCACATTAATTAATTAATTAACAATAGTAAAAGTTATAAGTTATCCAAAATAAATCATTAGTGACACAAATTATCGAAGTATTGTTCTATAAAATACACAATACAATCTTATAAAATACATGATATAATCTCATAAAGTACTTGTCTCATAAATTACATATCTCATAAAGGACATAATATAATGTCATAGAGTACATATTATCTCATGAAGTACATGATATGATCTTATAATATAACCTCATAAAGTATATAACATAATGACCATATGAAGTACACAATATGATCTCATGAAGTACATGATATGATCTCATAAGGTATGTGATATTATCTCATGAAGTACATGATATGATCTCATAAATATAATCTCATAAAGTATATAATGATCATGTAAAGTACATGATATGATCTCATGAATATAATCTCATAAAGTACATAATAACCACGTAAAGTACATGATATGATGACATAAATATAATCTCATAAAGTACATAATGGCCATGTAAAGTACATGATATGATCTCATGAATATAATCTCAAGATGTACATGCTACAACCATGTAAAGTACATGATATGATCTCATAAATAAAATCTCAAGATGTACATGCTATGACCATGTAAAGTACATGATATGATCTCATAAATATAATCTCGTAAAGTACATGATATGATCTCATAAATAAAATCTCAAGATGTACATGCTATGACCATGTAAAGTACATGATATGCTTTCAGAGAAAATGACAATAAATGTAAATGTTTATTAAATAGAGTGGAGTAAGATTTAGCAAAGTTTACTTTCAGAGGGAAATCTCTTGCTCTCTCTCCAACCTCAGCTAGAAAGTCATCCCTCAGGTCAACCCTGCAGATTGCATCTCTGAAAGAGACTGAGTGCAAAGTCTATTCTGGCATCATCCGTGGTGAGACCAGTACTTACTACATAGATATCTTCCCTCTCTCCAACCTCAGCTAGAAAGTCATCCCTCAGGTCAACCCTGCAGATTGCATCTCTGAAAGAGACTGAGTGCAAAGTCTATTCTGGCATCATCCGTGGTGAGACCAGTACTTACTACATAGATATCTCTCCTCTCTCCAACCTCAGCTAGAAAGTCATCCCTCAGGTCAACCCTGCAGATTGCATCTCTGAAAGAGACTGAGTGCAAAGTCTATTCTGGCATCATCCATGGTGAGACCAGTACTTACTACATAGATATCTCTCCTCTCTCCAACCTCAGCTAGAAAGTCATCCCTCAGGTCAACCCTGCAGATTGCATCTCTGAAAGAGACTGAGTGCAAAGTCTATTCTGGCATCATCCGTGGTGAGACCAGTACTTACTACATAGATATCTCTCCCTCTCTCTCCAACCTCAGCTAGAAAGTCATCCCTCAGGTCAACCCTGCAGATTGCATCTCTGAAAGAGACTGAGTGCAAAGTCTATTCTGGCATCATCTGTGGTGAGACCAGTACTTACTACATAGATATCTCTCCCTCTCTCAACCTCAGCTAGAAAGTCATCCCTCAGGTCAACCCTGCAGATTGCATCTCTGAAAGAGACTGAGTGCAAAGTCTATTCTGGCATCATCCGTGGTGAGACCAGTACTTACTACATAGATATCTCTCCCTCTCAAACCTCAGCTAGAAAGTCATCCCTCAGGTCAACCCTGCAGATTGCATCTCTGAAAGAGACTGAGTGCAAAGTCTATTCTGGCATCATCCGTGGTGAGACCAGTACTTACTACATAGATATCTCTCCCTCTCTCCAACCTCAGCTAGAAAGTCATCCCTCAGGTCAACCCTGCAGATTGCATCTCTGAAAGAGACTGAGTGCAAAGTCTATTCTGGCATCATCCGTGGTGAGACCAGTACTTACTACATAGATATCTCTCCCCTTGATCCAACCTCAGCTAGAAAGTCATCCCTCAGGTCAACCCTGCAGATTGCATCTCTGAAAGAGACTGAGTGCAAAGTCTATTCTGGCATCATCCGTGGTGAGACCAGTACTTACTACATAGATATCTCCCCCTCTCCAACCTCAGCTAGAAAGTCATCCCTCAGGTCAACCCTGCAGATTGCATCTCTGAAAGAGACTGAGTGCAAAGTCTATTCTGGCATCATCTGTGGTGAGACCAGTACTTACTACATAGATATCTCTCCCTCTCTCCAACCTCAGCTAGAAAGTCATCCCTCAGGTCAACTGTGCACCTGCCTTCTCTGAGGGGGAAAATCGAAATAAAAGCAGGTGTTTTCCACATGGATTGTACACCTGAGGAAGGCTAGAGAATGGATTGGTCAAAATACTGCATGAGGAAGATGACATTGTTCATTTTTTTTTAAGCTTTGTTTTTATCGCTATTGTTTTTAAATATCCCACATTGTAATTGCAGTAGTTTTGTTAGGAAAGGAGATACGTTGTGTGATCCTGGATATAAATTTACTGCAGAAGATTAAGAAATTAGTGTGCTTTCTATATTTTTGCACCTTAATAAATTAATTAAAACTGCATTCCTTAAGGGGAAATTACTGCCAGACTTATTACAACATGAACAACTAACACATTATGCATACTGTTTTGTGTTCATATATTCTTTTATTTAAATTCCTAGATGTTTCACCTATGTATTTCTTAGGACTATACAGTTTTGTATATTCGTACTAAACGTTTTAAGGTTATTATTTTGTTTTGTGTTAATTAAATAACTTACTGTTTTAGAGGTTGTTGTAACAGATTTCATATTAAGTTTAGATAAATTCTTTTTAGTTGTGGTCATTATTGAGTTGGTTGGTCGTATTATGTCCTTTGATTTATCAAGACTATATAATTTATTTTTTTTGTAGACGTTGTAAGCTTTCCCCATTACATTGTATGTGAATGAATTAGAAATTAAATGCACAATTGGATACTATCTGCAATTTGAGTTAGTCAAATGGGGATTACTTCATATCATTTATCCTCCCCCTCTTCTTTTAGTTTCATAGAATCCTCTGAGGTGTGTATAGGTCACAACTCTCAACAACGCAAAGCATTGCTGCTGTTGTTTCCATAGCAAGTAAGGTTTTACAAGATGAAGTTGTTTTCTCTATGTCCAACCAGTTTTTTACCCGGTTTCCGATTGCAGTATCCAGTGTTTCCAAGTGCTCCTTCATCTCGATGCTGCTTAACTTTGGTGATCAAATGAAAACTGGTATGTTAGTGTGATATGACCGTAAACATATATGATTTATACTTAAACAATAACAATATGAACAATAACAGTAAATCTAAGAGATAACACACACACACATTATATAACCGAGTGTGTAACAGCAAAAGTGTCCAAATAGTGTAACAGCAAAATTGGCCAATTGTTAGATTAAGCTCTGAACCTTTGTATTTTAGAAATGATTAAAGATATCTTACTGGAATTCACTGAGGTTTTTATAACACTATTAGACTCTACTTTGTGCAATAAGAATGTGTAATTACTCTCCAAGCATAACAGAAGACTCATGATGAAATGTTCATCATTAATTAATCATAGCTAAGGATCGGAAGTTCATGAAGGATTGAAATAAAGTTCAAATATATATATATTATTCCAGGATCATTTTCAAACATTCAAGATAATCTTCACTCTCTTCAACCTTCTAACTTTCTGTCTTGGAGTAACAAGGTACCTCACACGTTTCATATATGATTTCATTTTCAAGTCTATTTTTAGCTGCACTATGGACTGTTATAGGTGAAACTCCTCTCTTACATGCCAAACACCTTATGGATTGAGTTGTATCTTTTCTAATTGGCCTTTCTAGCTCTAAGTTGAAATGATGATCCCTCTTCCTGTTGTGACTTTCTGATCCAGTTTTCCTCTCAACTGTTCCATCTTTTTTAAACTTATTCACTGTTCTCTTGATGGTTCTTGAATGGTCTTTGAAGATGGAAGCCAGTGTATGAATGTTAGTATCATTATTGAAGGCCTGAATGATTTTTTTCCTCTAACCATTGCTCAGTTAAGAAGACAGTGGGGCTGACACAAAATAATTTTAATCTATACTCTTTCTAGCTGAATAAGTCAAAGGATTTTTCAGTGATGCTTACGACAAATGGTATCAAGATGGTTAAATGTCATATTTGAAAACCTGAATTAGTTTGGTGCTTTTTAGATATTAAAATTTTGTGGGATGGACAATTATGCTGTTACACCTGATATATAGCTATATATGTATACTTATGTATTACCTTTTAATATCTGTAATTAATTTGTTTTTTTCTTGGATCACTCGACGATGATTCATTCGGTGGAAGTCACGTTGTTTACGCAGCTTCACATATGTGTCCTTTGCTTTGCTATAAAAAAACAAGAAGTGAAATTAATCAACAGGTAAGAAAAATCAAAACAAATATTTTCATATATTATTCTGACAGATCAATTCTGCAGCCTTCACCAGGTGTACAATCCCTATGGAAGATAACGGCTGTGATTCTGAGAAGAGATATTATCATTTCAATAGTTGTGGAGATTATTGAATTCCTTGTTTTTCTTGCATTTGTTGTTACCACACTATTTTGACCAATCCATTCTCCAACCATCCTCAGGTGGACAATGCATATGGAAGATACCTGCTGTGATTTTAAGAAGTGTTACCATTATTATGCAAAATAGCATTGGCTAAATTATATCATGTGATCCATCCTGGAAAGTGATGGATGTGAGAATGAAAAACAAATCTTTGGGAACCAATAAAAACTCCCGTGATTAATGTTAAGTTTGAAAGACCATAACAATTTAACAAAATCAATGAAATAAAGAAGACTGATGAAGGTTAAACAATATCTGGGTTTTATTATAAACATGTAAAACAATAAAATAATGTTTTTAGGCATTTGTTGCTTTATGGTTATCATATTATTTGTAATGACAAAATTATATAACATCCATTTATGTGAATTAATCTGTTATGGCAGGGAATGTCAACTGGCATGTCACAATTTTGTTAAGGCAAAGAAAAAGCAACAGGATAAATCTATTTGGAATTGAACTCAAAAACAATTTGATTATTCTTAAATAAATCATATTTGATAAATCACAAGATGAATGGTTTTGTTTTTTTTTTAGAGTTTACACTGCATATAAAGTTGGTTGGAATTCATCATCCAAAAATGTGATAATAACAACAAGGATGAGGATAAATAAATAAAGAAGGGCGGATGGGCCCAACAGCTGAAACAAAAAGAATCTAAGAAATCAGTTTGGCATCTTTGTTTATTTTATAATTTTAAGCCAGAATTAAAGTCTTTCTAGTAGAATTAGTGACTCTAAAATTTATTAGTGTTTTTTCAGAATTTCTTTGTCAAGAATTTGTGTGAAATCTTTTTATGGTATGTGCTGCTGTAAATATTACAGAAAGATTATTTGAAGCTCAATGTATTTTATTATATTCACACATTATGCAACACTTATTTTAATTAACTGAATTATTTAGAAAGATTAAATATTATTTAAAGATTAAATATTTTGTATGCAATTTTATGGATTCAATTAGATATTTTATACATCATTTTATATGTTCTTTTAGATATATAAATTGTAGATGATAAAATGTGTTGAAACCTAGAGAAGGTTACGGAACAGAATAATCACACGAAGGTTGGTAATGAACGATAATACTTAGAACAAGAACAACACATATAAGATTTGCCAGCGGTGCATAGAAGAAGCAGTCAACTGCTCGAAGTCAAGTGAATTCCACAATTAATCTCCTACCGCAGACCAACACATACAGTATTCACTACTGTATTTATGGGAATAGGGCCATACCCATTATTAGCCATAGATATGCTACAACAAAATGTATTATTGGTAATTTGTTTTAAAAAGTGTATTGCTGGTACATATTGTATTTTTATACTTTTTTAGTGCTATATTGATTGTCATTTTGCTATAAAAATATATATTGTTGGTAATTCTACAATAAAATGCATTGTTGGTCATTTTGTTACAAATGTATTGTTGGTCAGTTTACTATAAAAATGTAGTTTTGATCATTTTACTATAAAAATGTATTATTGGTAATATTTTTTATTATGAAAATTTATTGCTTGTAATTACATTACAAAAATGTATTGTTGGTAATTTTTATAAAAAATATATTGCTGGTATTTTTACTATAAAAAAGTTTTGATTTTTGTTTGGGGGTTCACTATATGTCCAAATCTGGGACCCAGGGTAGGGTGGACCTGGGAACAACAGCAATTAAGAAGTGGTTCCACATAACTCAAAAGCTCCAATCTCCCAATCAGAGGCTTTGCTGCTGGAAGTAGTTTATCATCAGACCCAGGACCATGACAGAATAAGGAACAAATAGAAAATGCTTATAAATTTCTGGTTATTTTTTAGTTTTCTGTTCTTTGTCTTTCATTGGTTAAGTAGACTGTTCTATTGTAGTTAACTTGATGTGAGTTGGCCTCCTTTTGACCAGCCATGCTTGCATGAATACAAAGTCAGCATAGCAAAGTGAGATGGCAAAGATTGTACAACATGATAATAAAAAGCTCCTTTTAAATATTAAATCATCTTGTTGATTCAGAATCAGCTCAGTTTTGTAACTGAGATTCAACCAACATCACAACATAGACCACGTGTATTTGTTTCATCTGGTAGCATCTGTGTGCGTAATTCTTGTGTGTTTGTGTATCATAAATCTAGTTGGTCTATATGCGATTTGGAAGATAATGTGTATGTTTGTGCATTTAGAGGTCATTTTATGTCTGTCTGGTAGTGTCTGTATGTTGATTGGGGGATTTTTGTGTGGGAGTGAAAAAATTTGACTTACATCAGTTGAGGCTGTGGGTAATCTGATCTTATATTCTTTAAGCATTGATTTGAAGAAAGTTTGTAATATAATAAAGTGATGGCATTTGTTAATCGATGAGAAAATATCTATCTTCATTCTTTCTAAGTATTTTCAACATAATACATTATGTTCTTTTCTTATTAGGGTAGCATTTTTTAGATCAATAGGATGGCCTGTTTTATTTCTGTATGTTACAAGTGAGTGCATAAGATTGTCCCAACATAGGTTTATCTTATGTCTGTAGATGTGGACTATTAGATTTTCTGGAGGTTTTTTTATTTCTTCTGGCATTATTATGCAATTAATATTATAAATCACAGAATCTATCCTCTATTGATATCTATCTATTCATATTCTTCTATTTATCTCTCTATTGATATCTATCTATTCATATTCTTCTGATTTATCTATCTATTGATATCTATCTTTCATATTCTTCTTTTATCTCTCTATTGATATCTATCTATTCATATTCTTCTATTTATCTCTCTATTGATATCTATCTATTCATATTCTTCTATTTATCTCTCTATTCTATCTATTCATATCTATTTATTCATATTCTTCTATTCATATTCTTCTATTGATCTCTCTATCTATTCATATTCTTCTATTTATCTCTCTATTGATATCTATCTATTCATATTCTTCTATTTATCTCTCTATTGATATCTATCTATTCATATTCTTCTATTTATCTCTCTATTGATATCTATCTATTCATATTCTTCTATTTATCTCTCTATTGATATCTATCTATCTGTCTCATCCAGTTCATATTATATATATCAATATAACTTTTTAAGAATTCAGAAGAAAATTAAAATAATTGTTGTTCTCTGTAAAATTTTCAATGTGGTGTTTGGTATACGTCATAAAGTACATTGCAACATACACCAAAATACTACATTACAGGTTGACATGACTGAAACAGATTATCTTTGAGCAGGGGCCACTCATAGGATGGGGACATGTTGGGAGCAACTGGTTTAAATATATATTACAAATGCTAGTTACTGATAAGCACTATTTTTGTTATAAATCAAAATTGATGATGATGATGATGATAATAATAATAAAACATATTTTACTCATGCGGCAAATTTAAGTTAATTAAAATGAAAACTATATAAGTAAATAAATCTTATCTTGTGTTCCAGACCCTTGGAATAGGGAACAATATTTCTCAAATTTTTGATTGACTGTTTTCAGGAGTTTAATACTTTAATTTCTTGCATAAGGTTTTTTTTTTATGAATTGCAAAGACCATTGTTGCAGATTTTGGCTGTGAGTTGAGGAGATCATTTTATTTTTAATTAGGAAAAACAATGTTTAAAAGAAATTTTTATATCATATTAGATATATAAAAGATCAAAAACACTATTTGGAATCATCACTATGGTACTTAGACTTCATGAATTCAAATGCAGTACTAGATTGCAGGCCAGGTTATCAATTCACAGTTGAAATGGCTAGATGTAATCATAAATTCTATGCTAACAGTTGCTTTTCTCACTTGCAGAACTCTCTTCTGGCTTCTTGCTTTCCACTTTGATCTTCAAAAATTTAAATGCAATGTCATTCGTTATCTCCTGTCTTCTTGATTACTCTTCTATTGTTCTTGTTCTTTAATAATGTTTCTCTTTTATCTTATTCTTTCACACTCAGTAACAACTTGTATCTTAGTGGCTCTACTGCCTTGCATGGGGTGAAATGGTTTTAAAAAAATATGTATAAATCAATAATTTTTGTTAGTTTCAATCTAAGTAGGAATGACTGTAAAATACTTTCTTTTCCCCATTTTATAAGCAGAAGCACACAAATACATGATGGGATTTTTTCCTAGTCAATAAAATAGGCCAGATCTCAGTTTCACCTGATTCGATCTGTCTGTCTTGTTTTGAAATTGGAATGCTACGTTTGCTTGTCCAAACTTGCTTTTGTTTGTCAACCTCAATTCTTAGTTTGTGAATATTACTGTTGCTTGGCCTTATTACTGCCTTGCTTATATTGTTTGCTTGCTTTATATTATTTTTTGGGACTGTTCTTTTCTTTTTCTTGTTATTGCAAACTGTCAATACTGTTTGTTGGGCAGTTCTATTAGTTATTTTGCATTTGACCATGGTTACTCACTCCACAATTTTAATTTTAAAAGGAGCATAGTGTGATGGAATCCTGATTTTACACTCCCAAATAATCAATGAATGTAGAATACTTTCTTTAGCCTGTATATTCTAGTAAATGGAGGAATAAATAAAATCACATAGAGTAAATCGGAAGCATATTTTAGATTTATTAGAGTAGAGAACGTTCGTCTCATTTGAAAGGGAATTTGTACTTGATTTTGTTTTGACACACTTATTTTTAGCGAAAGGGAGATAATATACAATAAGTCGAACAGAGTTACGTCCCTTAAAACGAGTGGCCGTTCCACAATGATTGTTTGGTATAATTTTAAACAAAGGATAGAATGACGGATCGTTAGCACGCGGGCCAGCCCAAGTACGAATCTAATTATCTTGGAAATGTTATAACAGAAAATGGGATACAGAAGCTGGAGAGCACATTGGAATGAGCTCCAAAAGCTAAGCAAAGTATTAAGAAACAAGACAAAGAAAAGAGTATTGAGCTGCTATGTGATATCAATCTTCCTATAGGGCAGAGAATGTTGGACAGTTTTCTCACAGATGAAGAGACATGAGGCAACAAAGATGCGGTTCAACAGAAAAATGCTGAGAATGCAATGGACAGAACATATGACCAACGAGGAAGTTTTAAGGAAAATGGAAACAAAAGAACACTTATTCTTAAAATCAGAAAGAGTCAATTGAAATTTTTGGGATACATAATGAGGAAAGAGGGTTTGAAGAATTTCACACTCACAGGACATATTAAAGTCAAGAGGAGAATCAGGAAACAGCGAGTAACTTACTTAATGAGATTGTGTACATTTTAGGATACATAATAAAGAAAGAGGGATTGAAGAGTTTGACACTCACACGATATTTTGAAGGCAAGAGGGGCAAATTGAAGCAGCGAGCAACTTACTTAACGAGCTTGTGTAAATTTCTGGGATACATAATGAGGAAAGAGAGCTTGGAGAATTTGACACTCAAAGGACAAATTGAAGGCAAAAGGTGGAGAGGGAAACAGCAGGTAAGTTACAAACACACTGTTGTTTCCTGAACAATAGTGTGTTTGAATTTCATAGTTGTGTTGTCATATCCTGCTATGGCAACAGAAAACAACTTTGAGTGAAATTAACAATAAGGATACTGTAATTGAGAGGCCTTGAAAATTAATGCAGTGGAAAGGGAAGTAATATTAATTATGCAGAGTGCTAAAGCATAACATTCAAAAATATAACAAAGGAACGATGTAAGGTACACAGTGAAAACAATGTACAGAAAGTTTATTGCAAACACTATTGCAATAATGGAAATGATAACTGAAAATATTATTAGTGGTACAAAATTTTATTAAAGTGGTAAAAAAAGGAGATAATTAAAAAGACAAACACAGTTACCATAGTTGGAACAAAACCAGAAAATTAAAGGAAAGAAAAATAATTTTAAAAATGAACTAATTAGTTTTACCCCTTACTTATCAGAGCTCGACTGAAGTATATGAATAAAATTATTGTTCACACTAATTAAAAAGAGGCTTACAACCACATCAAGTTGAAATACCAGGATGTGCAGGTGGTGTAATAGATAATGGCTCAGAATTGTTAATCAGAGAGCAGAGTTCCAATTCCCATTGGGTTTGTTATATTTACTTTTGCGCAAATACCCTTGGGAAAGGTAAGAATTCACCTCTTCTCTCACCCTCCAGCTATGGTTTAATTAGTAAGACATGAAGTGGAACAATTATATTGAATAAATTGCTAGGTCAGCTGCTAGTAAAGTTGGTCCATTGTGTTGTGCCTGACTATTTTTCCCATCAGGATTCATCTTACATGTTTATAAGCCTACCATTTGTTCCTGCACTGAATATTGCTGTCACATTTGATCTGGTGCTTCTACTCTACATCTTGAGATTCTTGACAAAACCTAAAGAAGAATCTGTAATATTATCAGCCCTGGTTTTTGGTTTTCTTTTAGTCTTGGTAATCCCTTACCTCTTAGTGGCTTTATCATCTTTTGGCGGTGGGGTATGATTAACTTATATATATTCTCCCATTTGTGTTTCCCCCAGTATGGGTATTATTATATCCATGACATAACAGCACCTTATTTTACGCACAGAATGGAATAGCTGAAAGGAAAGAATGGTAAACATGCTTGGTTCTCACAGAGAGTTTTATGTCGGTAAGTTGTACACAAAATTATATATATATATATATATATACATTTATACATGTCCCATGCAGAGAAACTATAACATGTATGCAACAGTAAGCAGAATGGAAAGGTGAAAAAAAAAGGGGGTCTTATGTATAATAATTTGTGACAGGAACAGGAACTGTTGGAGATTCTTCTGTTTCTGGAGAAGTCATATTTAGGATTCCAGATTCGAGTGAACTGTGGGAGGCAGATTTAGTCTCCATCTGGGCAAGGCAAAGGCCTCTTCTGTGCTAAAAAAGCAACTTTTTGGTTTGACTCCTGGAAGCTGACTGAAGAACTTACCATTTTGTCATTCTATGAAATGATGTCACTAATTGACTGTTACGTGACCCATATGGCTTCATCCTGACCAAAGGGAGTTAATTGTACCCCTACACCTCGTTCAACATGGACAGGAATTCACTGGAGGAAGATTGTACCTGCAGCTTGGAAATCCATACATGGATTGCCACAGCTATGATAGTGATGGCCAAATTGGCAAGAATATGGCGGAGCAAAATCAGCTTTCAAATGAAGTACAGACTGTACAAATTGCTGGTAGTCTCCATTCTCTTATATGAATGAGAGATGTGGATACTGTTGGCAGAAACAGAAAGAAGGATCCAAGTATTTGAGAACAAATGCATGAAAAAACTCCTTGGCATCATCTATTGGGAACATAAAACCAATGAGTTTGTGTGGAAAAGGGCTGAAGTTTTTGTGGGCCACCAGGAACCTCTTCTCACCACTATCAAACAGAGAAAAATGGTGTGGTTTGAACATGTTAAAAAGCACAACAGCCTGTGTAAGACCATCATGCAAGGCACCATTGAAGGTGGATGTAGGAGAGAATGCCATCGCAGAAACTGGTTGGACAATGTCAAACAATAGACAAGTATGACTATACCAGAATTGCTGATGGCTGCCATTGATAAGCTGTTGTGGAGGAGATTCAATGTGCATTCAGATCACCCTACCCCTACAGTTACAAAAGTCAAGGGGATGATGATGCTGATGATGATGATCTTGCTCAAGCACTGATGAGTAAGCTCACTTCATTTTTTTCTTTCCCGTTTCTATTTTCATTCCAACTATTACAGTTGTGTTTTTCCCTTTGTTGATTTTCTTTTTAATTATGTACTTTTTTTATTGTTGTAATAAAAATGATAATTACTTATCTGCAAACAAGAAGATCTTACAAGTTGGTACCTCCAAAATTAAACCATTATACTTACAAGGCTGCATTTTTATACTTGAGGGATTCCTTCTCGGCAATCTTCAACTGATCTTCAAGTTCAATTATTTTTCTGTAGACATCTGGCACCATGCCTACCTTTCCTTTTTCTACAAGACCTTTTTCTTCCAATTCATACCTGAAGCAAAACAAACATTTAAAAAGGTAAAAACTAACAGAAATGATAGAATCATTGATAAAAATACATGGAATAAAATAATTAAGAAACTTTAATCAAATTAACCAGGAGAGAAATGAAAGAAAAAAATTAATTATTTGATCTGTGAACATTTGGGACATATTCAATCTTTTCAGGTTTGAGAGGCAGTCAAAATTAACCTTTCAGTATATTACCAAGGATCATTATGCCACCTATTTTAGTTACATATTTTTATCATTTATTTTAGTAACATAAGTGGAATTTTATATGTTATTTAAAGTTCTAAGATAAAGTAGCAGCATTATTTTGTGAATTATGCAAACTAATATCTTCATTTTCTTGTATTGAACAGAACATTTTGACTGGTCAGTTCTCCAAACATGCTCAGATATGTGAGATATTTGAAGGTGTGGTGGCCTAACATAAAATGTAATTGAGAAGTCAAGTTCAAATTCCGGTTCGTATTCATTTCAACCCAATGCCCATGTATTCATCTCTTCTCATCCAAAACTATGAGCAAAATAGCACAGCATATTTGCTTTCTAGCCTTGGTTGCTTACCATTCTAGGAAAAGAACATTATAAGGTAAGCAAAACTGAAATTATTACTAATACTGCATCTGTGTGGCCATAATCCTTGGCTCTGTAAGGACTCTACAAGAATAAACAAGTAACACATTTAAAAATATTCACCTGATGTCGTAGACACTTGAGAAAGAATGAAGAAAGGGCAAAGAAAAATGCTATGTTCAGAAAAAAATCATGAAACAAAGCATAATGGAAAAGAAATTGTCATAGTGCACTGTGTTGTCAGACACTAAGTGAAGCACAAAGGACAGTAATATAATGCACTAATTAGGAGGTAAAAAAGTACAAAGTATAATTGATATAAACTACAAAGCACAAGTGACATAAAGCAGAAAATACAAGTGATACAATGTACAAAGTACAAATTATATAAAGCACAAAGTACAAATGATATAAAAGACAAAGTAAAAGCAATATAAAGCACAAGGTACAAGCAATATAAAGCACAAAGTACAAGCGATATAAAACACAAAGTACAAGCGATATAAAGCACAAAGCACATATAAAACACAAAGTACAAGTGATATAAAGCACAAAGTACAAGCGATATAAAGCACAAAGTACAAGCGATATAAAGGACAAAGCACAAACAATATAAAACACAAAGTACAAGCGATATAAAGCACAAAGCCCAAATGATATAAAACACAAAGTACAAGCGATATAAAGCACAAAGCACAAACGATATAAAGCACAAAGTACAAATGATATAAAGCACAAAGTACAAGTGATATAAAGCACAAAGTACAAGCGATATAAAACACAAAGTACAAGCGATATAAAACACAAAGTATAAAATGATATAAAGTGTTTCAGGACGTGTTTGTGCATATATGCACTGTGAATTGAAACATGTGTACTCCTGGAAAAATTACCCCCAACAAATATGGCAGACTCAGTCTATCAAAAGAAATGTTAAAGAAAACAACAAGAACCGATATATATGTACAAACAATTATGTGCATTAAACAAAAGAATTTACGATAGACAAAGACATTAATGTGTGTGTGTGTGTGCGTGTGTTGAAATGTTGTGTTTCAATGAATGTTCATATGTATGTGTGTGTGTGCATATAATGTTCATGTCATCTCCCACAAGAGGGAACGCTTATCTTCTGCGACAGCTTACATGATCATAGTTGGCTGAAAATGCAAGAAAGATAGAGAATGATGCTAGGGTCTCGTCAAATATATATAGTAATTGGATAGCTCCCCCATGTGGTGGTGTTAGAATTTAGGAGGAGTTAACTCTGATAAAAGTACAAAGTACAACTGATATAAAGATGACTTTAAAGAGGCTCACCATTCTGTCAGAAAGTGATTCAGTGACTTTTTCATTCCCATCCGCACCAAAAAGTTTCCAATAAAATCCTCGACTGGCTCTGGTATCTCACTCACTGATGGCTTTGGACTTTCTTCTTTGGATTCCTATCAAGAAAAAAATCATAAGGGAGTACAGTTTAATTACTGTTCACATGTAAATCTTTATTAATTCCTGATGAGCACATTTCTTTCATCTTAATTTTAGTTGCTTTTCATTGCCACAAATCAGACAAGTAATCTAAGGAAATAAATAAACAGTATAGAACTGTAGAAAAGATCTGAGAAATTGTGATGAAAAGCCTCAGAAATTAAGATGAAAGAAACCCTAGTCAAAAATAAATAATCACTGATAATGCTTCATGTAAGAAATTCAAATAAAATTATTCCACAAGCTATTCTGCTTAGACTCTTCATACTTACTCAATGCAAAAGGTTATTGAATTGTGAAAGAATATGAGAAAAAGGAAAACATTATTAAGGCAAGAGGAGAATAAGAGAACAGGGATTATGGAGAAGGTTTTGTGCAGGGCCATCCACACTTTTTGAAGGGCTGAATACAGAGACCTGGTGCATTATGTGCCACAAGGTCCCCAAACAACCCTCCGCAGGTTTTGAATTCAGAGTTGTCCTTCTCCTAGACCAGTTGCCATCCAAGGCTATAGAACCCAGTCTGTCCTACTATTTACACATAGCTGGAGGGAGAAGAAGAGGATTCATACCTTTCCTAAGGGTATTAGCGCGTAAGTGAATATAATGGATTTGACTGGATATCGAACTCAGCTCTCCGATTCCTCAATCCAAGCCGCTATCCATTACTCCACCGTGCCTCCTCCTATATATATATAATTAGAAAAAAGGGTCCACATATACTTCATATAAGTTTATAAAGTAGTGTAGATAAGTTGGTCAATAAAATAATGTCAAATGAAAGGGTACTGATGAAATCAATACGAAAAATATTTATTAATATTAACCAGGTAACAAAAATGAAGCACGGAGATTGAGGTTCCAAGTTTGGAATTTTCGAACACACTTGAGTTCTTCATCAGCAGATACAAGAAATAAACAGAGTGATGATCGAAACTATTCAACTATCTGTTCCCTGTTTGATTTCTCACTGTGCTAAACTTAATGTTAAAATAATACCACCCCCCACACCTGATCCTACAACCCTTTTTTCCCCTATGTTGAACATCTCATTCCTCTACTATCCACCACCAATCACAATTTTTAAATCTGGGGTTATTTTCACATTAAGTTTCACACAGCGAGAAATCAAACAGGGAACGGATTTTTTCTAATAATTTCACCTACAAGCGGATTCTACCCACCTCAAAAAACTAATGTTCGATAGTTTTCACCTTCACTCTGTTTATTTCTTGCATCCACTGAAGAAGAATGCAGGCGTGTTTGAAAATTCCAAACTTGGAACCTCAATCTCCATGCTTTATTTTTGTCACCTAGTTAATATTAATAAATGTTTTTCATACTGATTTCATCGGTACCCTTTTGTTTGACTTTGTTTTATTGACCAACTTATCTACTCTACTTTATGTGTTTGTGTGTGTGTGTGTGTGTGTGTGTGTGAAAAGTGTATATATTTATATATATATATATATATATATATATATATATATATGCAATTTATTATATATATTATTTATATATTATATATTCATGGTACTTATTGGAAAGTGCTCAATATCAGCTCACATCAATCCAACTAAATATATATATATATATATATATATATATATATATATATATATATATAATGTGTGTATATACAGGATGCGATGGATAAATTGTCGTCTAAAAATTACACAAAAATGAAAATATAACACTGACATCTCATTTTAACAGATATATTAATCAAAGTTACACAAAAACATCTTGAAATACCAAAGAATGACTTTAGTGAAAAAAATTGTCATTGGCTTCAACCACTGCCGTCAGACGACTTTGGAATATTCTGCAACACTTCTGGATGGTCTCCTTGTTTAAATTAGTGAATGTTACCAACTTAGGTGTTAGAAGGTGCACCCCATACATTATAATCAAGGGAGTTGCAGGCTGGGGAGTTAAGAGGCCAAATATAAGGGTAAATGTGGCCACAGAAATTGTCTGACAGCCATGACTGAGTTCTCCTGCTTGTGTGTCATGGTGCAGAGCCCTGTTGTCAAGCAATAGGGACTTCTAGCAGCCAACCTCTTGACTCAGAGCAGCACTACCTCCTCAAGGGACTTGTAGGCCTCCATGTTGAATCTGAGGCCCTGTGAGATGAATAGGTATAATGTTGCCATCACTTATGATCACTCCAAACACCTTTGTAATCATCATTAGACTCTGTCTATATTCCTGAGATGAGGTATTATGTACATTATTTACATTATTTGGACAATTGTCCTCATATTTGTCGCCATACTTATTACAAAGTTTCGGTTGTTGTGGCTTCAGGTGGTTGGAATGTCGAACTGAACCCTTTATTTCGCTCACTGGGGTAGACTGTTCTAGTTTCACGTGCCATGTCTAATGGATGTCAGTTATCTCCTGTTAATTCTCCTCTCAAAGTTCTCCACCGCCTTAACTCACACTCTTTGGGTCCTGTCACTGGATCTAACTAACGCCATTATCCACCAGTGAGCGAAATAAAGGGTTCAGTACGACATTCCAACCACCTGAAGAAGGGCGGGGTGTACAACGGCCGAAACGTTGTAATAAATATGGCGACAAAGATGAGGACAATAGTCCGAATAATGTAAATAATGAACATTAGACTCATTCAACTCTTTCTGAATCCTCTGTACTGTCCTTAGATTGAAACCAAAACACTCCAAAATGTTTGTATTGGAGCTTCTGGGGCGAATGCCAAGAAGTACAGTATGCCATTTCCAAATTTCTGGCAGAGTGAATTGCGTCATGGTGCTCTTTTTCTCACAGACTGTGCCCAACTGACCCTATTATACTGTGCAGTTGACAAAATCAAAAACAAACAACACACATGTGTGAAATTAAAAATATAAAGTGGTGACAAGTTACCCATAACACCCTGTATGTTTGAAGAAAGCCCCAAAACCATGTACTCTTAATTCAGCCAATATTAATTTGACAGAATCTAGATGTGAATAAACAACTTTTTGTTGTGTTTTAATCACATATTACTAGCATTAAACTTTGAAGAAAACTCTCTACTCAGTCCATCATCATGTAATTTATAAAAATTTATCATGTAATTTATGAAAATAGTTTTAAAAAATGTGAAAATAAGGTAGCATCAGAAAATTTCTTACTAATTCTGATTTTTCCCGACTTTCAACTTCTTGTAAGCAACGGACCGCACAGTCCAAGTCCTCAGTCAAATCTGTAAAAAACAAAAAGGAAAGTGACATTATTTAGAAGATGGTTATCAACTGACATTTGAGGGCATCAACAGTCGTATTTTTATTTTGAGTAAATATTAGGTTTTCCCAAAGAATTACTCTTAGGTTTAGATTTATATTCTGATTAAATAATCGTAAATTAATTACTTTTGTTAATTTTACTCCCAAATCGAGAGCGATTATCAGTATGCTTTTTCAGTACATTTTATGAAATTTGAGGACCAGAAAACCATTTGTTGCATTGTCGTTAATGCTGCCTGGTGGATGATAGACAATCTTAAGCATAGTGATGCTTAAAAAAGACCTTGCATAAATGCTCAGCCATCAACAAAAATTTCCCTTTTCAGCCCTTAAGTTAAAAGAGATTTTTTTTTGTTTTTTTGTAAAAAATTGATTTTTATTATTGTAGAAAATACTAAGCATTAAGGTATCGAGTTAGTAGTTATTATTGCAACCTTTGTCTTAAATAATTGCCTCAATTCAATGTGGCATTGAATAAAACGAGAACCAGATTTTCTCGGTATGAATTTTTTTGTATTCATCTTGGCTGTAATTGCAAAACTATTGAGCACTCTTTATTTGCTAAAATATATTTTTTAAAACCTATGTTGTTTCTGTTATATTTCCTTATAAATTTGCATCTGTATGTATATATTTATAGGTTAATATACACTGGCATGTAAAACTTTTGGTCTACCTTGGTAAATTAAATACTTCTGTTAATTTTACCTCCAAATTGAGTGATCAGCAGTATACTTTTCTCAGTACATTTTATGATCTTTGAGGACCAGAAAACCATTTGCTGCATTGTCGTTAATGCTATATGGTGGATGATAGAGCATCTTAAGTATAGTGATGCTGAAAAAAAGGCCATGCATAAATACTGAGCCATCAACAAAATTTCCACCTTTCAGCTCTTTTTTTAAGTTACGAAGTACATTTTCCTTTGCAAAAAGTGATCTTTATTCCTACAAAAAATACAAAACAAAGTATGGACTTAGTAATTAGTATTGGCTTGGATAATTGTTACAATTCAACATGGCATTAAATGGAACAATGTCCAGATTTTCTCATTGGGAATTTTTCACTATTCTCTTTGGAAGTAATCTCAAAACTCTTGAAGATTGCACATTTTCATTGGAACACTTGTTTCTTCATTTCCCACCCCAGTAGTTCAATTATATTGAAATCAAAACTTTGTGCTGGCCAGTCTTTCAAAAGTTAAACATCTTCATCACAAGAAACCTTTTTGTTGCATGTGATGTGTGGCAAGGAGCACTGTCAGCTGAAAAATTTCTCCATCTTTATAGCCTGGCAGAAGATTAGATCATAGCAATATAGATTTTGCTGTTTAGGTTTCCATCAATGTTTACTAATTTTCTTCTACCATAAAGTTTAATGCAATCCCACACCATTACGTGTCCCCCATCCAAATTTTACTGTGATTCTTCTCCTGGTATTCTTACATAGTTTCTTGCGTTTGAATGTAATTGTATTTTGCGTTCATCACTAAAAATTATTTTTTGTCACTTTCCAGAATTCCATGTTAGATGTTCTTTTAATGACTTTAATCTTCTATTCTGATGTTTTTTGGTTAATGATGATTTTTTGCTGCTACATATATGTTCAAGTTATTTTTTCATAATTCTTTGCATATTGTATCAACTGAAACATCACTGTTAAGCCTGTATTCATTCCTCATTTATCTGACTGTTAATTTGGGATTTCTTTCATCTCTCTTTTCTAACTTTTGTGGCTGTCTGGTTTTCTTTGTACTTAAAAACACTTCCAATGGCAGCAAAGATATTTGAAATGGTTTGAACATTCTGGAAATTCCCAGCTGTATAATGTATAGTTTGTTTACTTTTGACTGATAATTAATTATTGCTGATTTACAGTATTTTGTAATTATTCAATAACTCTTTACTATTCTTATTAAATTTACTTAGTTGTGGTAATGTGTGCATGTGTAGTTTGTCAATTTGTTTGTTATTTACTGTAATTCCCCATGTATAATATGCCTTCATCCATAATGCGCACCCATAAAATTGTGCTGAAAGTGTTGTAAAATGCTTCTACTCATGTATAATACGCATCCCTTGTTTGGTAATCAAACCCTATAAATTGTACCTCTCCAATTTCATTACTGCCAATATTTCCTACTCTTATTAAAAAATGGTTTTAAACAGAGAATAATATTATTTTAATTTAGTTTTATGATAATTCTTATTTTATTTTACATTTGTATGTATGGTTAGGTACATATGATTGTATTTGACATCCTTATGGGGTTGCAATTGCTGAATGTTAGTATCAAATTGTCGTATGTTTGTGGTGAGTAGTCATTTTGCAACTGAAATTGAACTATGAAACAGCAATTTTTTTTTTAAAAGATGTTTTTGTAGCTGTGCATAATATGCCCCTGCCTAATTTTGCTTATTATATTTTAGAAAAAAAATGCATATTATACATGAGGAATTATGGTACTTAGTGTTTTTTTAAATTTATTATTTATTTTTTGGGCAGTGTTGTTATCATATTTGTTTCTGTAGTTTAAAGTATTGGCTTTATTTAAAGTATGTTACATTATCTGTGTTGTATACAGTGACTATATTTGCATTTGTTGTGGCGATATTTTACAAGGCATTCATTTTTAGCTTTCAGTTTTTAAGTAACATAGTGAAAATTTCTTTTTGTGCCTGCATTTTCAGATAAGTTCTGATTGTTTATTTAGTAATTTTCATTGGCCTGGGAAGTTGATTGTAGCTATTTTCTTCTTCAGATAAAGTTTAGTTTTGGGATTTATTGTAGTAGGCTGATGCTGTTTTCCTTATTTTCCATTTTATTTTTTCTGCATTTTTGTTTTTATTTTTAACTTCCCATAGATGTTTACAAAGGGTTGTGCTGTTCACATATTTACTATAGCTAAAAGTTAACAATTGACACTGTACAATAGCTACAAATAGTTATTTTCCAAGCATAGCTTAGATGTGGCACAAGGCCGAAAGTATGGGGCATCTAGTAAGGATCGAATTCACTTTTCAGTAGTAACTGACCTAGCGAGACAAGCTTGCTAACCATTACACCACGCCGAGGTGCCCAACAATAGCTACAAATAACCACATTCTGACCAACAACTATTTCTATAACTCTTTTACCGTTGCGTACACCTGATGATATAACCACATTTGGTAGTCTGGTCTTCTGGTCTTAGGATGACATTTTAATCACAGAGATGACTCTATGCCGGTCAATACTTATGCTGGTCAAAGCTGACAGTTGGTCATTAGTTGCTTTGATCTGCTCACATTGTGTTCTTGATTTCAGAATGGTGGAACATCGAATGTCATAGTAATTGAAGTGCTGGTTTGAGCTGTGGTGGGCACTATATTAAGGGAAGAGATATTTTCACAATGGAAAAATAAAATGAAAGATTCATTGGGTTAATCTTCAATTGGTTCATATAGTTCTTGCTACAAAAATTAACCTTTCCCACATCAATCTCTCTAATGACACTGGGCCTCATCTAAAATTCTGTAATGGGGTTCAAAGTTTTTCAGAGTCAGTAGATCTGGTGGCAGCTGATATGAATTCCAGAGGTACCCAATGTGGTATTCACAGTGAAAGTCTTTGAGCTATCAAAACTATCTGCTTATATGCACTTCAGCCCCAAACTACCATAGGGCTGAAGGGTTCTGGGGATTTGGTGATTCCTCAATTTTCACATTAATCATAACAAGGGTTCTTAATTCCCTATTTCTTCTTTCTTAATCAACTTTCCAAATTTGGAGAATTATCCACTTTCTTTGCTCTTCCCTCCAACTTGCTTCACTTTACATCTTGTACCATCACTCCATACAGGTGGCACTAAATTCTCCCTCTTTCTCCTTCCCTCTCAGCATTCATCCTCAGCCAACTGCCCAGGACAGGCATAACTGTCTTTGTGACAGATCTAATTTTTAAAGTGTGTAAAGGGTTTTATTCTAGTCATTAATTTTAATTCTCAAGTTCCTTTCTAATTACCTGGACTTTGTCCAGTGATAATATAAACCTAATCACTGATGACAGGACTTGTTTTCATAACTCCTGCCTGCCTTAATCATACATCTGACCAATTAAGAGAAGTTCATTCTTATTTAACTTTCTGAGTGAGAGATAAAATTATTTCCCAATTTGCTTTAGTCTGCATAAATATAATCCAGATCTATCTCTCTCTTGCCAACATTATTTGTTTGCTCAAATTCTCAAGGAAGAGATAAACTTATTTCTTAATTTGTTTTACCTGATTGTTCAATTCTTGATAGAGAAAAAAAACAACTTTTGAGTGCACTGTAGGGGAAAAGAAAGCCACTTTCCACTTTCCACTTTCATGTCACCAGGAAAATCTCTCTCTCTCTTTTCCAGTTTATATTTCATCTTATACTTAACTCCTTTCCTGGATCCTCCAGCTCATAATTAATATTTAACCACTTCATGGCCTCAGTGTCACATTTCTACTGAATAGCCTTTAGAATAATTTGAAATAGGATCATTCCTGCCTCCCCAGTAACCATTAGGATAATACAATAAAATGAAGATACCTATCCTTGCTAGTCATAATGCCCCATTGAACAGTATAAATAATGAAGCCACCACAAAACACATGGCCCTAAAATTGCATTCAAGTATAAAACAGACTGTTGCCACCCTGTGTTGACCTCAGTGTTCAATTATATTGTTATGTTTTGCATATTTTTCTGTGTAGTAGTAGTTGTAGTACAGTTCTCTGTGTCCTGAATAGCAACCAGGTTTGCTAAACATAGCCAACCCTATGTTTGCCAGTTGTTCTCTATTTATACTTGTCTATCTAATTTGCATACAATACTACATTTATATTTATAGTTATGGGAAAACGATATATAAGTTATTATATATCAAGAACAATTTTAGGAAAATCTATGGAAAAGTGGAAAAATGTTTTTTAAGTGACATATTTCATTCTTTAGGACTTCATTGGACTAAAGAGATGATTATGTTGATGTGATTACACATGTGTATGGAGGAGAAGTGATGCTGAAATTTTAACTTAATTATTTTTTTTTAATCTGTGTTTTGTGTATAGAATCTAGCCTGTTTCATTTAGTTTCATTTTTTAGAATCTTTTACAAAACAACACACTCAAGGCATTAGTTGCTCAGCGTTTTTTTGATTAAGAAAATGCTACTCTAATTGATAAAATCAGCTAGACTAGATACCAAAACACACACACACACACACACACACACACACACACACACACACACACATATTATGAAATGAATTAAATCCAACAATTATTTTAATATATTTATTGTTTATATGTTATTTTTGTACATACAAATATTTAAGTAAATGTTCTGTTTATAATAAACAGTATTAACAACTTTTACTGGCCTGAAAATATATATATATATATATATATATATATATATAAAATTTAGGAAAATCTATGATAACATGGAAGAAGATTTTTCCTGTGATGCGCTTCATCCTACACTGGACTAAAGATGTGGTGATGTTTAGTGATGCTTGGGGCCAACTCCTTGATTGTATGACCCCAAAGACTCAAGTACGAGGGAGGGGCTGGTACTGAGAAATATGAGGATGGAATACATTTTAAATATGAAAAAAACAGATGAAACATGAAATAAACACTTTTTTATGTGCATATATATATATATATATATATATATATATATATAAACACTTTATTCAAATCAAATATAAACTAAATTTTAATTTCACTCTTTGATTGGATGCCTCTGGCTGTTGCAACCTCTGCCCCCACTTCTGAATGCTACTGACTTCCATCGCTTTAAACACAGAATGCTTGGACACATCTCTCCATCATCGAGGCTACCATCCTTCAACATCTTCTCTGCTGGGTGGGTCATGTCCAGAATGTGTCCCACTTGACTCCCACATGTCATCCTATTTGGAAAACTCCCCAGCAATAAGAGACTATGTGAAGGCTCAAAATGATTCTTCAAGGGTCAGCTGAAAACATTCTTGACATCCCTGACACAGGCCAACATTGATCTTTACACCTGGGAAACTGTTGTTGCAAAGAATCCTTCCTGGCATAGGACCATCCAAGCGTGCACTGAGAATTTTGAGTCCAACTGTCAACACAAAGAGGATCTGTGATGTGCTGTCAGGAGAGCCCGACTTACTTAGCCGTGTCAACCACCCACCCTCCTCTGTGACTCCTGCTCACAACTCTTCAGGAGTAGACTGGGAATTCACAGCTATCTTTCTTACTGCCACTGAAAAGAAGAAAGGGAATAAAGAGAGAGAGGATGATGATCCCAATGCTCAGATGCAAGTGGGTGCTGATGAGTGAACACAGTAAGAGAACACCAGGTCAGGTCCTCTTTGAGCAAATCATGCCAATAGAATGCAAGTCTATCAGGACAAGGCAAATTGAATTTCGTTTTTGTCTGACCACACCACAAAAGCTTTCGTTCTTCTTTCTACAAGTCAATGTGTCATAATGTGTGCGGTTTGGTTTGGTTTGGTTTGGTTTATTTTATGGCATATCAACCATAATTGTTTATTTAATGCCGACAAGGTTTTTATTGCTGGTAATATTTTTCTAAAAATGTATTGATGGCAATATATTTTCTTTAAAAATGTATTGCTGGTAATAATTATTTACAAAAATGTATCACTGGTAATTTTTCCTCAAAAAATTCATTGCTGGTATTAAAACCTAATTTTACACTTTCATAGTGCTTTAACCCCAGTTTGGGGTTTAACTATTTGCTTATAGTTGGGACCCTAACAGTTTAGGGGTTAACTATTTGCCCATAGTTGCTACCACCCCCAAGTCAGGGTGGACCTGGGAACGCTAGCAATTAAGAAGTGGTTCCACACTCCTCAAAACTTCCTGATTAGAGGCCTTGTTGTTGGATGTAGTTTATCGTCTTATCCAGGATGTGTAATGTGTGCTGAAAAAAAGCTGAAGAACTCGACCAAGGCCAAGAAAAGTACCATGTTTTACCAAAACACTCAAAGCAACAAGAATTTGAATTAAACAAAGGAACTAATGATGTGGATGGAAGAATGGAAGCCTGAGATGTGGCCATTTGACTTACAACTCTCTTCAAGGGGGGTTTGGAGAATAAATAAATGAGAAAGATAATTACTTACCTGCCGAGACAACATCTTCATCCCCAGAGACAATTTCATATTCATAATCGTCATCCAAAGTGTCACTTAAAACTTCAGCTGATTACAGTGTTAAGAATAAATAAGATACAAGAAGAGAGAGAGAGAATGCTGAAAACTAATTGTGAAGGGGGTGCTGAAAACTAATTGTGAAGGGGGTGCTGAAAACTGATTGTGAAGGGGGCATTGAAATGTTCTTGGCCTGGTCAAGAAGGATTTCCTTGCAGAAATCTTCTGAAAGTGATATTAGCCAAGAATCTTTTTAATACTTGTTTGTACAACAGTGAATGGAGCCAGGGAATGATATATATTACTAAATGGAGGAAAATGACATATAGCAGTAAATGAAAAAAAATGACATATGACATATAAATGGAGAAAATAAAAGATATATATCCATAAATGAGGAAATGACATATAACAGTAAAATGACATATATCTGCAAGTGGAGCAGGGGAATGACATATACCAATAAATAAAAGAAATGACATAATAGCAAATATGGGGAAAAAGAAATGAACAACAAAGAGCTGGGGAATAATGTATGAGGTCTGAACAAAAAGTATTGGGACTATTACTATAGAAACCGAGCTAAAGTATGCAGATTGAAGTGGCTTGGCCTTGAACTCTGTCGCACATACATTACTAAATTATAATGTTTTCACTCATTTCCATTTTTTATAGCTGTGCTTGGAAGGAAAGTGTGTAGATTGTGGTTGTCTTGCCACACCACAAAAGTTCAATCAATGACCATATCTTATGAAGCAGTTTTTAGCCAAGACAACATACCCCAAGTCCAACAATCACCATATTCCCCAGATCTTGCCTCTTGTGACTGTTTCCTCTTCAAAAATCAAATCACATTTAAAAAGGAACAAGATTTCAAGAAGTCAATAAAATCCAATAGAATGTGACAAGACAGCTGCTTGCTATCTAAAAAAAAAAAAAAAGTTTGAGGAATCCTTCCATCAATGTAAAATGACACTAAAGTGTGTAGCTTCAGAAGGGGACTATTTCGAAGGAGATTAAATGCCGAATTGATATGTGTCATCGTTGTCTTTTTATAGCATCAGTCCCAATATTTTTTTATCAGATCGCGTATATTAGCTGATGGGGAAATAACTTATGTAAATAAAGGAAAATGGTTGTTTTATATCAGTCAATGAAGGCATATCGAAATGAACAAAGAGATTTAGCATTTTAAATTTAAAGCTCACTTAAAAACATTTGTCATAGAAATGTAGCGACTGCTATGTTTTTCCACACCCACATTTTATTCGTCTGCAATTGGCTAATAAATCGATACTGCCTTTCTATAGGACAATTTAGTCATCACAGTCGTTGCTTTGAATTTTTCGGTTTTGAACTCGCTTACTTGTTTTGTTAGTACAAATTTAGTGATTGGTCAATTTTTAACCAATCACATATTTTAGTGCAAAATCAACTTTTCCCACGGTTTCGCTGGGATAGCCTATCTGTAGCTTTAAAAGAGGCGACTTTTTCACAGCAGAGTCCAGCAAATTTTGCCAGTCAACACAAACCTATGACTTTACTCACAAAATTTCAAATGCACACAGACACAGAATTTTGTAATACATATATACATATCTCTCTGTGCCAAGTTCAATCAACCAGGACTCTGTTGATTTCTCTAACACAACACACTTTCTGATCAATTGTATTCTTGTATTATCTATTCTGACAGCAGACTTGTTCTAATGCTGATTCCTGAACATTTCTCTCTAAAGAGAACTTTCTTTCAAACAATCAATCACAAATCAAAAATACAGTTAAAGGGGAGCAACTTCTTTTCCCTTAATCTATACATTGAATACAAATTATTGTATATTTTGTTCTTGTATGTTATTTCAATATATACTTGTTGATTGGGCACCCCAAGACAGTGTAATAGTTAGCAAGATCATCTCGCTAGAACAATTACGACTGAGCAGTGAGTTCAATCCTCACTGGGTGCCTCATACTTTTGGCTTTGTGCCACATCTGACCTACACTTGGAAAATCATGGGACACCTCGAGGCGGTGTAATAGTTAGCAAGATTGTCTCGTTAGAACAATTACGACTGAATAGTGAGTTCCATCCTCACTGGGTGCCTCATACTTTTGGCCTTGTGTCTCATCTGAGCTATGCTTGGAAAATCAATATATACTTGTTGATTCACATTTGGAGTTTCGTTATTTTCTTGAATCATTAATAATAGAAAAGATATATGCGCAATGAACACACATAACAGAAAGAGTGACTGAGTAACAACAGAACTGCAATGTTGCAATCTGCAGGAAAAAAAGTTGCAGAGCAGAATGAGCAACACTAATTTCCTCGTTACATTTGGGTTATTTTCATCAAGAGAATCTGAGAAAAGAAAGTGTTGGGATTGCTATGAGTTTGAATTTGTTATCAGAAGGTTTTTATATTAAGATGTTTAGTTTATGGGCATGTTCACCATATTAATCCACAACAATATAGAATATAGACATTCAAAAACGAATCAAAAACAGAAACACCGATTATGAGATTTCAATAAAACAACATGCATTTATGTACAATTAATATACAATTTGAAAACTTGTAGTTTGATAATGCAAGAAATTGACCATTGGTAAATTGGGTTTCTTATTGATTTACAGTTTGAAATTGTTCAAGTGTTTAAAAACTGGTCAAACAGAGTTAAGGAGAAAATATTATTTATAGAGAAATTTGTGTAGTTTGTATGCGTGAATAAAGTAGGAGTTTAATTCTCTAAATTCTCCAGAGTTGTTTACCTTGGATTGTTTAGATATTTGATTGAATATTTACGAATACTTGTTAGGAGTGAGTTATTATCACTTTTTAGTATTGTAAGAAATTGTTCCTGGTAGAGTGAAATGCTGTGTGTGTTGTCAGAGAAATTTGTGTGGCAAAAATGTAGCTGGTTATGATTTTTACTGTCGTGGATTCATTTGGCACTTCTCCAGGATGAAATTCTGACTGCCTGAATCGATTTGAATGCTTCCTTTTTATTTAGTTCTGGAAGTAGGGATCGGCACCAAATAGCTAGGCGCGAAAAGATATTTTGCATGAATTTGCTACAGTTTGAGCCAATGAAAAGTCTCGTTCACTGGAACTAGGGTGTTGATCAAACGTATCATTACTTAAGGATACTGTGGAATCTTCCACAACAAACCAGCCTTACCTCTTTTTAGGAAATGCACTCTTCCTATCTGGTAAGTAACATCCTACTTTCATACAAAATATCAACAAGAAACCATTGGTCAATCACAGTACATCCAACTTGCTGTTTCAACCAATCAGATCGCTCTCACGTGCAGAGTCAATTTAGGCGCCAAGTCAATTCTGATCCTATCACATGATACAGGCAGATATATAAACAGAACACGTGGAAACTCCCTTGAGTTTCTTTCATTCATCTCTCTCGTGTCTCATTCCTTGCTACCAAGTATCAAGATGTAATCTTCAAGAACTCCTGTTTTAACTAATGCAGTCAGACGTTAAAGACCATTACCAACATTCACACAAGTACAAACTTTGAAATCTCTTCTCAACTTTTACCAACTTGTACAATACACAATTCCAAACATGCTAATGAAATTTTATTCTTCTAAACTACAGTTTTAAATACTTTCACTTTATGAGCTCGAATACAAATATTTACCTAATCTAAGAGACACAACTCTGTCTGACCTTTTCACTCAGTGCATGTATATCAAACACTAATAAATTCAATTGTTATGTTTTGAAACAAGGTGTTTCTGAATCATTATTTCTATGTCTTGTATTAATTGTTGTGGATGGAAGATTATTGAACACACACAATTTTAAACCTTCTGATAATTCAAACCTTCTATTCCTTTCCAACACACACACACCTCACACATCCGCAACAATACAACGAAGAGCCGTAAGAAGAAGGTAGCAAAAATATTTTTTTTTATTACAAAATTTGAAAAATAACTAAATCCGAGACATCTGAAAGGTCAGTACGGAATAGGGGACAAAATTATTCAATATGGGACATATCCAGTATATAAGGGACGTCTGGCAACCCTACGAAGATAACTTTTTTTAATCACTAAACACACAAGGTCCCAAGATGGCGATCTCGTTTTCGTTGTGGAGGGGAGACAACTATACAGTGCTTAAGGGATATTAGTATATCGGATAGAGTACAATATATTTTTAGGGAATATAGTTACTAGTTACAATATACAACAGCTCAATTTTTTTACTAACAAATAGATTTTTTTTTACGTGGAAACAAAAAATAGGAACCTTTTGTTAACTTACCCCAAAATAAAAAGAATTTATATTTACTAAAATTCACACCCAATTCTCCCAGAGCAAGACACTTCCATTGCACTCCGGTTGGGTTGACCTTTGAGATCGCCCAAATATGGGTGAATATGTGCACTATTTCTAAGTGTGGGGTCTATGTTCCCACTCGCCCCAAAATATTAATTCACTACGAAATAAAAAGAATTTTTACTAAAATTCACACCAAATGCTCCCAGGGCAAAACCCTTCCATTGCACTCCGATTGGGTTGACATTTGCGAACGCCCCAAAAATGTGGGCGAATCGGGTGCGCTATTTTTAAGTGTGGGGTTTACGTTTGTGCTGATTGCGATAAACCAGCCAAAAGCAGTTTTTTTTTTTTTTTTTTTTTAAATTGTAAGATTTCTAAGTATCACGAACACTTACGAAATGTGAATATCTCCCTGATTTTTGGTAACTTTTCATTCATAAGGTTGGAGTTGTTGCGAGGCTAGCTAAACACATTTCAAAAGAGTGCCAAAAATGTAATTAAAAAAAAAAAACAAACTTTAATTTAAAATTTATAATTCTTGGGATGAATTAATAATTGCGATAAGTAGCTCTTTACATTATTTGGGCTGTATTAACAGAAAAGACCCCCCCCCAAATACACTACTACAGTATATTTTATTAAAATAGATATCAGTAACTCGCTACAAAAAAATAATTTTCGAGTTTTCTTGAATTTTTTAAAGATTTCGGACCATAATTTCCATGTGTTCACAGTCGAGATTAAATATTTTTAAAATTATATTACTCCTTCAGGGATTTAGCTTTCCTTTATAAAAATGTAAAAATTAGGAACATCTAAAAAGTTTAACACTTAAAAAGATTTAGTCATAAGTTAAATAAAAAAAATAATATAACCCGAAAATATACTTCCACAAAACTTAATAAAAAAATTAAGATAAAGTTAATGACTTTTGCTATCTTTTTAAAAAAACAGGGAATATGTTTTTTTTTTCACGTGTCGAAAGTGCGCATGAATTTCGAGGTACCATTACAAATTAATTGTTTTTTTCGTTGTTTACATTTCAAAACACCAACATTGAGATTAAATGAGTTTCTCTAAGACTTCTTGTTTTTTTTTTCTGTTTCATGAAAAAATCTAAAAAACAAAGTCACAAACAAAAACCAAGAAGAGGTGTTCGTTCCAACAACGAACACAACATACAAGAAGAGACAGACAGAAAACAAATCCAAACGTAAAAACGATAGCACAAATGGACGAATACAACAAATATTACAAAAAAAAAAGATAATTAAAATTAAAGAAATAAAAACAATGCGAACAGTTTTGTCAAACCGTAAAAGAATACTTTCAAGGTAATATTTTTCTTCGTTCGGGTCGATTTCCGCCATGATTGTTATACGTAACTATAGCAACACTTACGTAAGGGAAGTAACTTACATTAGAAACATATTGTCTTAGGCTGAGTTATCTCCCAAAATAAATTTAAAATTGTCTTGCACAAAAAGTTATGATATATATATATATATATATATATATATATATATATATATATATATATATATATATATATATATATATATATATATAAAAATGTTAAAAAATGATGATATATTTATTTAGACATAGAGCAATGATTCTGACAAGGACCAAAGTATTACCCTCAAGCAAGCACTATGTATAGAATTAGTGTGGTATCTGAGTACTCTGTCAAGTGTTACGCTAAAAATATAGATACTGTCTATATTTCTGAGATGAGGTATTATGTACATTATTTACATTATTCAGGAGATAACTGATAACTGACATCCATCAAACATGGCACGTGGAACTAGAACAGTCTACCCCAGTGAGCGAAATAAAGGGTTCAGTTTGACATTCCAACCACCTGAAGAAGGCCGGAGCGTACAACGGCCAAAACGTTGTAATAAATATGGTGACAAAGATGAGGACAATAGTCCGAATAATAATGTAAATATAGATACTGTTTGTATTTATCATCGTGAAGATAAACAAAAATAGTAATGTCGAAAGTTGTGCTATCTCAGTGGTGAGCTAAATGAAAAAAATATTTTCAAATCAACAGAGAGAGAAAGAGACAGAGGAGAGAGAGAAATGGATAGAGAGGGAAGATAATGAATGGGAAAGAGAGAAAAAGAAAGATGAAAGAGGAAGAAAGGTAAAAAGAGTAGAATGGGATAAATAGAGAGAAAGTAAGATTAGAGGGAGAGAAAGAGGTAGAGAGAGGCAGAGAGAAATGAAGAAATAAGATAACGAATGAGAAAGAGAGAAAAAGAAAGTTGAAAGAGGAAGCAATGGAGAAAGAGCAGAGAGAAGGATAAAGAGAGAGAAAGGAGAAAGTGGGAGAGAGATATAGAAATGAAGAAATAGGATAGAGAAGGAAGATAAAGAGTGAAAAAGAGAAAAAGAAAGGTGAAAGAGGAAGAAAGGGAGAAAGAGTAGAGAGGGATAAAGAGAGAGAAAGAACGATGTGAGAGAAAGGGAGAAAGTGGGGAAGAGAGAGAGAGAGAAGGAGAGGGAAATGAAGAAATAAGATAGAAAGGGAAGATAAAGAGTGAGAAAAAAAAAGAAAGATGAAAGAGGAAGAAAGGGAGAAAGAGTAGAGAGGGATCAAGAGAGAAAAAAAGATAAGAAAATAGAAAGTGAAGAGGAGGAGGAGGAGAGAAAGAGTGAGTAGTACCCATAAAAATAATTAGTATATTTTAATTTCCTTAAGCTTTTATTTGTATATTTTTTTTTTAATTTTTAGAACTATTTTTAGAAAACCCCACACGCAAGTCGCTAGTGGCTCGCCGGCGAGCCGCCGATGGCAACGACATCGGTACTCTGGTGGCTGCCACCGGCGAGCCATTGGCGGGCGGGCCACCAGTAGGCCGCTAGCGGTCCGCCAGTGGTAACATTGCCGAGACGAACAGGCCGGCGGTCCGACAGCAAGCCACCAGCGGTAAACTCTAGTGGCATGCCAACCATGCAGTGGCAGATTGGTGGCATGCAGGGAAGGAATCAATATATTTACTATAAGTTTATTTTTTAAATTAAATAATTTTTATAAATTTATTTATTTAAAATAGATAAATAATAAATAAATATTATCTTTAAATAAAAGAAGAAATTTCTGGACTTGCATAATTTTCAATCGGCATATCTTAATAAACTAGAAAAAATACTGAAAGGAAATATAAGACAAATTTGAGGCACGGTGGAGTAATGGATAACAATTCAAATTACAGTTGTGTTCATTACATTAATTTATGTACTAATACCCTTGGGAAAGGTATGAACCCACCTCTTCTCCCCTCGGTAAATAGCAGGTTAGACTGGAGCCTATAGTCTTGGGTGACATATAGTCTAGGAAAAAGAAAAATTCTGAATTCAAGATTGCCTGGGGAGTGATGGGCTTCGTCAGGCTGTGAAAAAAAAAACAAAAACAAAAAAACAAAACAAAAAAACTAAACACAAAACAGCACTATCCCATGTTTTTTAAATTTTAAAAAAATATTATAAACTAAATTATCAAATTTCAAACGTTTTTATACTGATGACTGTGAATCTCCTGACAATATTACAATAATTGAAAATCTAAATATAAGTTTTTTTTAAAAAAATATTTTTATCTTATTTTTATTTTATTTTTATATATAAAAAAAAAAAAAACGAAAAGAAAAAAAATTAAAATGTCTCATTGATCTGGTAATGCGTTCAAGTTACCAGAGCGTAATAAATAGGGAAGCCCAGAATGCGTGACCAGTAAGTATATAAAACAACATTTGTTTTATATTATTGGCTAGAAACCTTTATATATCTGTTCTAGCGGTAAAAACTATCTTGGATCCGGGTATTAGTTTCAGCTTGGATTAAAATCCCATCTTCGACATATACTTATGAATGATAGAAATTAAGGAGGATTTGAGATAATTAAGTAATTCAACGAGTCTAGAAGAAACCTCAACAGAATGCACTGGACGGCCGTTTTGTCCTATATTTGGGATTCACCAGCAGTGCGTATCCACCACCGAGAATTGAAACCCGGGCAGTTACAATACCAGGCAAATGTCATACCAACGTCATACCAACTGTAACAACAGGCTTCGGTGACGAAGAGGTAACGAATTAGACTCGATATTGTGCGGTGAATAAATTTAAAAAAGAAGGGAAAGTGGGGAGGAAAACGAGATCAGGAAGTCACAACAGGAAAAGGGATCATCATTTCAATTTAGAGTTAAATACATTAATTGCTGAAAGTAGTAGAGTCCAATAGTGTTATGAAAACCTCGGATAATTCCAGTAAGATATCTTTAATCATTTCTAGGGTACAACGATTCAAAGCTTAATCTAACAATTAGATAATTTTGCTGTTACACCCGGTATACTGGTATATATATATATATATATATATATATATATATATATAATATATATTGATATATATAAGGAATATATGAAGAAAAAATAAAAAAAATATAACAATTATTTGACAAGAAAATAATGTCAATAAATACAATTTCGGTCTTTTTAATAGAATATTCAGGACATTTAATTCAACATGAAAAGACGATTATGTTGAATTAAATATAATCCAATGTTAATTATGACGATGAATATATCCGGAAGATTCTACTAGACCGAAACGTCCGATGTTGACATTATATTAACATTAAAAGCATAATTGCATATTTGGATTTTTGTTTTTTTTTCCGTATATTTTTCTTCATACTGTTAGATCTATATCTATATTTATATATATATATATATATATATATATATATATATATATATATATATATATATATATATATATATATATCTTGTGTGTGTAAAAATTCAGATAGTGTATTATTATCCTTTGTTGCTAGTACAGCCTTTTGCTCCTCAAGCAATGATTTTAATTTTTTAGATGCTATAACTTCTAAATAGTTTCATAAACCGAAATAATGTCAATATGGCACACTCATATTTATTTGGAAGCAAAACAAGGAAAAGAATGTTTTAGTTTAGTTTGTGTCATTGTGTTTTGTTTCAAGTAGATAACGTATTTGATTTTAGTTCAGTAAATCTTAAACATTTTTATAAAGCAGTGATTTTAATTTTCTAGATCTTATAACTTCTAAATATCTTCATAAGCTGAAATGATATCAATATGATAAACTCATTTATTTTGATTGTTTTAATGCTGTTTATAAAAATTAAAAAAATCAGATTTTTTTTCTACGGTTGTTTTGAAGTATGTGTTAATTTGGTTTGAAATAAATCGTAAAATAGCGGTATTTTTTAAAGAATATTTTTTATTGACAAACAAAAGATAGCTATTCTAATTTATTTAAAAAATTGCAACAAGTTTACTTCAGGCTATGTAAATGTCGATAAAATGTATCACGAGTAAAATAAAAATCTAACAATACAAAATGGGGAAAAGTTTTCGTTCTTTCACATTTTTCAGTCCGATAAAGTCGGAAAGGACAAAAGGCGTGAAAACTTTTGTCCATTTCGTCATAATTTCGTAATATTCAATATTACAGACTATATACTTGCTTATTTTAAATTACTTAGCTAATTATTTTATTTTTATTATTCTATATAGATTATATTTTGTACGAGTAAAAATAAAAAACAAAAAACGGAAGGCCTCGCTTAGTAGAGCATTAGCACATATACCATAGAGATTACGTGATATAAAAATAATCATTTCTGATTCAGTTCCGAATAGGTAGGCACTGTTGCGAAACCAATTTTCTGTAACCTACTTGGAAGAGGTAAAAAGTGTTGTTTTCTTTGTTTTTGTTTAGATAAAGCAAAAAAAAAGAAAAAAAAAAAGAAAAAAGGATGCAGGGTGAGTGAGGAAAGTTTTATATTCTGACGGCAGGGTCGCCACCGCTAAACATGCTCGTGGGGAGAAGTCAGAGGTTCTCGTAATCGAACACGCCATATTTTTGAGTAATTTGGACTGAGAGAACCTTCTGTAGGCACGAGGTCATGCGTTATCACAGCATCTCGTTCAAAGACAGATGGTTCACACTATCTCTGACATATGATTTATATAATTGCCATAAACTTGCTTCTTTTTCCTTTTCTTCTTCTTCCTTTTCTTCGTTTTTTTTTTTTTAGATTTTCAAATGGGAGAAATTTGCAGAATTTGTTGGCTTTCTCCTCCTCTTCTTTTTCTTCTTCTTCGCTTCTTTTTTTTTTTTAGATTTTCAAATGGGAGAAAGTTGCAATTTGTTGGCTTTCTCCACCTCCTCTTCTTTTTCTTTTTCTTTTTCTTCTCCGTTTCTTTTAGATTTTCAAATGGTAGAAAGTTGTAGAGTTTGTTGGCTTTCTCCTCTTCCTCCACTTCTTTTACTTAATTTTTCTTTTTTTCTTCTTTCTTTTCTTC